AGTTGAAAACGGCAAAAATTGAACCTAGCAGTAGTGGATCCATAACCTTTTAGGAGCCAAGACGATTTTTGTGGGCTAAGCAGTAGAGTAGGCCTAATCTTCTCCATATATGAGTTACACACTAATAAAATTCTAGTGGAGTTGGATGTCCAAATCCCCATGTGGAGGTTTAGGGTTTAGGGTTTAGGGCCAGGCCTTGGGTCCACCAGTGGTTCTTACAAGTTTTGGGATTGCGGTCTAACCTAGTGTAGGAGGTGGGAGAAGTGAGGTGGCACCATACCATAGCACGGCCATCACCATCCGTCGGTGGAGGAGAATGATAGTTGTGCTTAGGCGTGGGGGGAGCCATAAGGATGGCCTGACAACCCTAAGTTAGCTAGGCCCTATTTGGCACGGTTCCAAACGGCTTCGACTTCTTGGTGCAGTGCACCGAGGAGCCAAAGCTAGTGAAGCAAAAAAAAAATAGTGGCTTCAACGGCTTTTGGTGTATTTTTAGACGAGAGAGAAAAATGTTTATTTGCTACAGTGCATGAAGAAGCTGAAATTGGAGCCACTCCAAATTTTACCAAAAGGAGCCTTAGTGTAATCGTGTAAGGGAAGCAAAGCAACTATGGTTGGCTATTGGTGGAGGACGGGGTCGACTAGTGGTAGACGGAGGAGCCGATTGTGAGGAAGCAACATGGTCCTCGGAGCAAAACCCCGTGGGGATGAAAGAAGACGCTATGTGAGTCGTTTGATCCGGAAACAATGACCATATTTGATCGCATAAAAATAACAAAAAAAAGAGAAAAAATATGTTTCTGAAGTATATAATGAAATTCATAAATTTTAATCCTAAAATAGCATTTCTGTCCTATCATTTTCCTAAAGTATAAATAAAACCAATCAATCGCTCTTGCGAACGGAAGAGTAAACGTGGTTAAAATAGTGATTTTACAGTAGCGATCGAGTAGCGACACATGCATCTCTGATAAATGTAAAATATAGACGAATAGCACCAAAACTACTCTCGTCAGTCGTCACTTTCAGTTTCCTTCTGATCACACTTTGGGCTCTAGTAGTGTAGTACAATGCTGTATTGCTGTGTCCCACGAGGATGGATCGGAGCAGCATGATGATGTGAGCAGCGAGACAAGCGGTCGGGCTCTCCTATTGAGGCGGCGCAGGGGAACAACCAGATGCAAGCGCTGAGCTGACTGGTACGGTGGTCGCCGTCGCCGTCGTACCTCTGGATGTGCTAGCTACCGGCGGGCTGCCAGCTGACTGGCCCATCGAGCCATGAGCCATCATCGCATCGATCCCCTTGGCCACACGCGCCGTAAAACGTAGAGTACGTAACCCTGACTGACGTGTTGCTGTCTCACTGCATGTACGGCGTGCACATCGATCGCCCCGGTTGGCGTCCCTGACCGCGACCACGCAATCACGCATGCATGCATCATGGCGCCGACGAATCCGCTCTGGCGGCTGCCGCTGGACCCGATCTCCATCGGCGCGGGCGCCCGTCCAACCGACGCCAGACACACGTCGACGTCGCCGCCCCGTCCGCCACGCCACGACGCACGTCGACGTCGCCACCCCGACCGGGCGGCGCCGATGCCGATGCATGCATGCACGCTGACGGACGCAGCTGCCGCGTCGTCCGCCGCTCGCTGCTACGTACCGATCGGTCTGCCAATGTTCGCAGGCTCGCAGCGATTGTCCGGCGCGTGCTCTGGCGTCGTCCGCTAGCTGTACAGGCTGCGGCCTGCCACGCGCGGCTCGTCGGCCCCGACCGCGACCGCGACCGGCCGGCCAGAAGCGTGCTCGCTCGATCAGGCTCAGGCGCTCAGCTCGCATGCAATCCTTTCCTATCTGCATAGTTTTTCTGCATCGGCATCTCCACGCGCGGGTGGGGAGCCGCAGGCGCTGGAGGGGCAAGGCCTCGCCGCCGCTTTTTCGCTTGCGCCGCGCCAGACGGTGGGTGCGGCGGAGCCTCCGGCGGCTGTCCCGGTGAAGTGTGGCGAGCTATAGGTGGGTTGCTGTCCTCGCGCGCCGCTTCCCCTGTGTCGCGGCGGATGGTGGGTGTGGTTGTGCCGCGGCGGGCTGAGCTGCGGCGAGCTGCGGTTGTGCTGCAGAGGGCGGTGGTTGGAGCGGCTGCTGCACTGAGCTGTGGCTGGCTGTGGGTGGGGGCGCCGGCGAGCGGTGGTCGGACTTCGGCGGCTGTCCACCGAGCTGTTGGTGAGGCGCTGTCTTTGGGCGCCGCAAACCCTGTGCCGCTGCGAGCGGTGGTCGGAGCTGGATCCTCGGGCGCCGCTTCCCCAGTGTCAACGGCCGCAGAGGAGTCGGTCGATTTGTGTAAGTGTATTTTGTTCTTCACATGTTTGTTCGTTGATTTTTTTTGCTTTTTGTTTGACGAGCTACTGGTTTGTGCGCGCGCTGAAATGGTCGCGGTTGTTTGTGGCTGCGTAGTAGATCTGGCGGTCTGAGTAGATTATTTTGTAGTTAATACAGTAATACACTGTTTTTTTATCGCTAAAGTCGGTTGTCTGCAGTTGGCTGTAATTATACACGGCTATTTTATTGCTTTAAGTACTAGTTTAAAGAAAAAATATTTACATCAAAATTTGGAAAGAAGAACGCGGGAACTCGAAGCTTTTAGGACTGTGTCATCAATGAATCGATTAGATGTGAATCGGTATCAGCTGATTTAGATGCGCTGATTTAGATGCGATGTCAGAATCGGCTATTTTATAGATGATGTCAGCAGACGGCGTTAAGGGCTATGGTTGAATGACGTCAGTAAGACGTGTCGGACTCTACAAATAAGAAAAATTAGGGTTCAAGTTATTATTAAGTTAGAAAGTTTTGTTTTATTCCAAAAATTGTAATGAGTCGTATTTGAGTAGGATTCATATTTAGGTTCCGGGTATAAATATTAGACCCTGGTTATTGTAAAAAAAATGAACACTCAATCAATACAATCTTTCCGGTTTTCGCCATCGCATTAGGAGTAGGAGTACTGTAGATCTCGACGAGTTCTTCAGCAAACAGGGCTGCATTGACTGATCGACCTCCAGCTTGCTTGTGAGTACCGTCACGGCTTGTATTGTGTTTGTAAAGCTGCATTAGCTGATTGATCTTTTATGAGCCATAATATAAGTTAGTTGTCGATCTGTATCGTAATTTGTAAGGCTACATCAGCTGATTGATCTCTTACGAATCATAATATAGATCCAAGTTATCGATCTTGTGTTAAATAACTTATGGTTTAATACAATATCACTAGTTATCGAATCTGCTAAGATTAGTAAGATTTTTCTGGCTGTTTTTTACGGTTATCGATCTTGTTATAATTAATGTTTTATTAATTATAACAAAATCATCCGATTGAGATAGAGATAGATCGGCATCATATCATCTTAATTGGTCGTCCTTTGATGTGGTCACGCTTTAAATCTTATAGTTGATGGCTTAATTCCGCTAGATCGACTGTTTTATTTCTATTTCAATAAAACATAGTATGCATCTAAAGACATGTTTCAATCTTGAATAAACTCACTAGTTAATGAGATCTAATCTAATAACACTACCATAGCTGCATCGATCCGGTCGAACCTCACTAGTAAGACTTCAAATTAGAAATTATCGATTAGTGGTCTTGTTCATGACCAAGATATGCACTCTGTTTATTTGCTATGACTGCATCGGCTATTTTAGCCGATTTGCCTACACTCTCACGCATATAGCATGTTTTTATGAATCTATCAACATATAGATAGTTTTATAGATTCTTTGACTTTAGTTTGTTATCATTATCATAGCTGCATCGATCCGATCGAATCTCACTGTTGATGATAATAGATTAGATTCAAACTGTTTGTAGACTCATTTATATTAGACAGTCGATTTTTTCGCATGTTATACTCTTTTCATCAAACTTATCGGCTCGACGCTTTATATCGATTATATTCTATTTAGCCGATGATGTTTTCTGATGTTCCATGAGCATCGGTTATTTTGATTCATGGCCCCGTTTGGCTTGCTGAAACTTGACTGAAATTGGCTGAAAACACTGTTATGACTGAAATATTGTGAGAGAAAAGCACTGTTCTGGCTAAAAAAGAAGCCAAACAAGCCGGATTTAAGGTAAGCCGAACGGGGCCCATATCATTATCATTTAATATTAGCCAATAATCCCATTTCATGGATACGCCAGATATCGACTATTTAGTCGATAGCCTTATTGAATCGGCTATCTAGTCGTATATTTGAAACTGTCTGGTGCAACACCGACATGTTCTACTTTAAATTACTGATAAGATTTTTTCTCCTTATCAATTGCAGGTCAAATTGGCTGGCGTGTCGTTGGGTTTTCAGAATCGGCTGGTTCTGTGTTGAAGACAAGCAGATCTCTGGTCTCGTTCCATTCAAATCATCCGGCTTGCTGTGTGTTGATCACATCGCCACATTTTTATGTCAAAAGGGAATAGGAGGATAGTAGAGAAAATAACCAAACAAATCATATCTATCATTTGTTTACCCAACTGGATCAATCGGCGGAAAAGACAGTTTCGGTTGATTTAGTTATCAACTCTGTACATAGTTGTGCTATCAGGTGTGGTAGTTTCGGAGATAATCTAAATTTTTTTGCCATCTATCGGTGACAATTATGGAGCATTACAGCATGGGTTTGCAGATGTTTTGTATGTATGCATTTTAGTAGGCATGCTGAGTGCCTGAATGTGCATTTCTGTTAAAATCTGTGCATTTTTTTTTTTGAGTGTGGCTCGTTTGCCTGAAAGGTGCATGATGTTAATTAATAGTGTGTGACTTTACATAGAATTGTTTGTTTTCCCTGTTTTGTGGCACAAACTCCTCCCCCTACATTGACTGATATATGTGTGTCCTCTTCATTTGGCACCTGATTCCATCTTTAGTGCTCTTAGACCCTGTTGATTTCCGGCTCCTAAATTTAGGCAGCTAAATACTCTCCTAAATTTTAGTAAGGTCATGTTTGGTTAGGTGATTAAACATGACATGTAATCTTTATAAAGACTAAAAGACCCCTCGTTGGATTTGGACGACGCGGGGCTCGCCGGGCTGCTGCTGTAATGTGCCCGTCGCCGTCCCTTTCCCTTTCCGCAGCGGCATGATGGTGCCTTTCCCTTTCCTTGCGTCAGAAGTGGTCCAGCACCGAGTCCGCATCCACCGAGTCCACCGCATGATGATGGTGGTGGTGGTTGTCCCCGCTCTGCCTCGACCTCACCACAGAGGAGCTCGTGGCGGCGGCGGCGGCGGCGCTGATGAGTCGCGCCTCCCGCACACACCTCGGCCATTTGCAGCATCCGTCGCTCCTCCTCCATCTCCTCCCGCATGCGCAGGCACTCCCGGCGGAGCAGCTCCACCTCGGCCTGGTCCTCCTCCACCTCCCGGGTGAGCTCGGAGCAGGCGTCCTCCATCAGCTCCCGCGCCTTGCGCTCCATCTCGTAGCTCTGCGCCTGCTGCTTCGCCGCCGCCCGCGCCTCCGCCAGGTCGCGCAGCAGCCTGGCGTTGGCCTGCTCCAGCTACCGCTAGCGGACCCGTGGCCGTCCATGGCGGAAGCGGTGAGCGGACAGGGCGCATTGACGAAGGGCAAGCCCTGTCCAGACGTGGTTTTAAGAGTTTAAGAGCTACTAGTAAGGTTTGGGTTACTAGCTGACTAAAGGTTGTTTAGTCTCTTTTAGTAAATGTGTTTGGCAAAAAAGTTACTAAAAGCTACTAAATTTTAGTAAAGGCTGTTTAGTCTCTTGCTTATATCCTGTGAGTGATTACTTTGGTTGATGCTAGTACGCTTTGCAAGTTCTGCATTTTGATAATATAATATTGTTTGGATTTATCACCTGTCAGCTGGAATCCTTTTATAAATTGGGTAAATAATCTGTCCATTGATCTTTTGATAGTGATCTCTTTGTGTGTCTGTTTTTTTTTGCTGCCTGTGTTAGTACAGACCAACTGATAAACTGAAGATACTCTGCTTTTATGTATGATTTGGCTAAATTTTTAGGGACAATAGAATCATAGACACCTGTGTTAGTACAGACCAACCGATAAACTGAAGATACTCTGCTTTTATGTATGATTTGGCTAAATTTTTAGGGACTATAGAATCGTAGACATGTTTGCTGTTTTTGTCTTTTAATAACTTCATTGCTTCAAGAATTTTATTGGTATACGAAAATACAAAACCCTATTGACCTTGTTTGAGTATGAGTTTGGTTCTTTTCAAACACTACAGGGGGAGTGTAGTTTCTTTTCATTTGTGACTGGTTTGAATTTGTGTGGAGGAACTGCTTCAATATGCTTCTGTTTTCTAAAAGTTTTAGCATTCAACTGAAAAGTGATAGCCTGTGTTGTTCTTCATGTGCAAATTCAACTGGAATGCCCTTTGCCACTAAATTAGTTTTTTTTTTCCATTTATCTTAGATATTTTAGGGACCCTGTTAATATGCTGAGATTTAGGTTGCTCATGGACGAAACAATAAGAGAGTAGCAATTTGGGGATATCAGAGAAATTTCTTTGTAGGTAGGATGCATAAGAAAATGCAAAGCCTTCGTGTAAAGGTGCCTTTTGTGATCTGGTTAGGTGGTTGCTGCTTCTTTCTTTTGTCAGACCTCTCGTTGTTCATGACCGTGTCCAGAGACAGGATTCTTTGCATCCTTTTGTAAGAACTATGTGTTTGTTTTGTTCTTTGTACGTCCTTGCATCTTAATACTAGTACCAGACTGGATAAAAAAAAAATTCAGTACCCCTCGGCCCCTCCGTAGGCTCTCCTGCTTTTTGTTTGCTACAATTCTTGTTATTATTAGGAGTAATTCCTCTTTATTCTTGCTGGATTTGTCAGGTATCATCCCCGCACGCTGATTCAAGATGTATCTCCGGTACTACATCAACGAAAAGGGGGACAAGGTCTACACCACCAAGGTCTGTGTATGAGCTTGCGCTTAAGTTTCTCTGAATGGCTAATGATTTTGGGTGTTACTTGTTAGGCTCTGTTACTTTGGTTATCTTTGTCCTTGCTTTGCAGGAGTCGCCTCTTGGGGTGCCGACGTAGTCTGCTCACCCAGGTACACCGCCTTTGTTCACTAGAGTTACTTTTGTTTTTGTTGTTATAACTTGCATGTCAAGATATAATAGCTGGATAGTTTTCTTTTGTTGGGTATAAGGATGCAGAGTCACGGTTGTCTAATTATGAGCGGTTGGCATGTTTGTAGAGTTGGACCCCTGACCGATTTGTGTCGTTCACCCAATAGTATGTTGTATCTTCAATTTCTTCTGAGTTTAGATTCTGGATATTTGCAGCAGACAAATAAAAAATTGCTTGCACAATTTTTAAGAATGGAGTTAAGAGTACTGGTACCTGTCAAAGCTGCAGATCATTCTTTCTTTTCATGTGATAATTCCTGTGCTTTAGGTGATCAATATGAACTCACTAGGCATTCACATAATCTAGAGTTCTGGTCAATCATGAATGGCTTTACCATGAGCACAGTCTTCCAGATTAAAGCTTCATTCTGTTGTGTCATTGGACTAGATGTAAATAAACTGTAGAGAGATAGAACCTATCTTACTTTACCTGAGGTGAACACTTGTATTGTGGATGTGTAGGACCAAACAAAGATGTAACCTGCAGAACTGAAACATGTGTAATTTGTTCTTTTCCATTTGCTGATGCATTGGGATTCTGGTTTCAGTATTCTATTTTTACTTGCAACTTTGAGGGTTTTTTGGCGCTTCTGGTGTGTTTGTTTGTGTGTGTGTGTGTCTCTCTCTCTCCCTCTGTTTGTGTGTGACTCTGTGTGTGTCGCTGATGAAGGTGCTAGAGCTGCTGCTGGAGTTGCTCTCTGCTACTGGAAAGCGAGTGTGAGTGTGTTTATATGTTTTGTGTGTGTGTGTGTGTCGGCGTCTGTGTGTTTGTGTTTGTTTTTGTGGGCCTTTTCCTTTTTTTAGTTTAGTTTTTTGTACATTTGGACGCTAGCTTTGGGGTCAGTGTGTGACTGTGACTGTGACTGTGTCTGTTTGTGTGGATGTCTTTGTTTGTGTCGGTGCTAGCTTTGGTTTGTGTGTGTGTGTCTGATTTGTGCACTTCAGATGGCTGTACTTGAAACCACAGTTTAGCAGGGCACCTCTCATGGGTGTCAAGTTGTTCGCCAATCCCTGGGTGCTTTAGAGATTGTTGTTGTAGTTCATGATTAGAGAATCTGTTGTCCCTTGGCCTGGGCATGTTGAAGGGAGCATTATTATTGAACTGAATCCACATCAGGTGACTGGCAAGTAGATTGAGACTGGAGTTCAGGAACAATGGCATCATAGATTCTTATATATTTTCTTTATTTATGACCAAGGTCTAGTTAAGCTCTATCCTTGCTGTTCTACTGTCATTTCCGATGTCCACATGATGTCTTCTATCTGGATGTTGTACTCGTTGTAGGGAGCTATCTTAAGTACATTGCAAACAAGTTTTGGTATCTCTTCAGCGTGGCAACAGAAATTCAGAGAGGCACCACTGGACTAACAACCGAGAGTAGTGAGCTGAAGATTTGCCTGCAGACCATGGAACAGCAAGTCCACTTACAAGATGGTAATATTCATCCGACCCTTATGATTGATGGATTTTACCTTGTCCAAAATTTTAGTTATTAGGTCTACTGCAGTAACAGTTAATTTTTGCACGCTACTACTTTTCCTATGCATGATGCCAGAGCCTGTGTGCATGCAAAATATATGAGCATAATCCGTGGGAGGAGAGGAGCAGGACTGCAGTGCAGGAGCCAGGGTGCAGCTGCCATCCGGCACCGGCAGAACCGCAGAAGGCCCTAGCGGCCTGGGTAGGCAGGCAGCCGGCCAGCTGGGCATGGGTTGCGGCCGCCGGGCGCCAGCCAATGGCGCAGCCGTGGACGCCGGACTGCTGGAGGACGGGGCGCGCCGGTGGAGGAGGGAGCCGCGAAGGAAGTGAGGCTGGTTGGAGGCCTGGCCGCCGGGCGCCAGCTCGAGACCAGCCTATTCGTTTGGCAAGCAAGCAACGGGTGTGCGATCGTAAATTTTCAGTGTCAGCGCGTTTGTCTCTCACGTTGCTGCTTTGTTAATTACTTTTGTTCAGGCGCTGCTTTTTGTTAACGGGTTTTGGATCTTATTTGATTTTGTGTGTTTTAAAAATCTGACAGATTTTGGTTTTAGCATCTGGCGGTTTTTCCCTGCAGACAAGCAAGCTTATGGATTTGTCAAATTGTGTGTGTGTTTGGTGCTCACAAATGTGTTCATGCGTTGCTGCTTTGTTAATTACTCCTTTCATTCCAAATTGTAAGTCATTTCAAGAATCTTGGAGAGTCAAAGCTTCTCAAGTTTGATCAAAATTATAAAAAAAATTACAAAGATTTATAACATCAAATAGGTATACTATAAAAATATAATTAATAAAGAATCTATTGATACTTAGTTGGTATCATAAATGTTATTATCTTATTATATAAACTTGGTCAAACTTAAGATGCTTTGACTCTCCAAGATTTTTGGAATGACTTACAATTTGGGATGGATGGAGTACTTTTGTTCAGGCGCTGCTTTTTGTTAACGGGTTTTGGATCTTATTTGGTTTTGTGTGTTTTAAAAATCTGACAGATTTTGGTTTTAGCATCTGTCAGTTTTTCGCCTGAAGACGTGTCATCTTATGATTTGTCAAAATTTTGACAGATTTTGGGCTCACAAATCTGTTGACAGACCCTACATTAATTTACATGGGTAGGCCATCGTCCGGTAACGGCTATGAAAACCGTCCCTAGAAATTAATTTTATTCATCTTTGGAAAAGAAAATGTTTTGTACTAGTGCAGGATCGTTGTATAAGATTCATCGGGCTTGCGACAAACTTTGATTACACTGACGAGATTAGGGCTGAGGGTGGTGCGTACCAGCTGAGGGTATGGCTGGCGTGGCAACACAATCAGTGAGGGTGGTGGGCGAGGTCAGCGTCCAACGAGGACCTCGACTTCCGTGGCTGCCAAGGATATGATTTGGGCTAGAATATTAATGCTTTTGCTAATGGCGGGAGTAGAGAACTATAGATAGCCAAATATATAGGCTGGACCTCATGGGAGACATGGGGCATGGCCCATTTAAGCATCATCCCATACTATTGCTATCAAGCCTGTGCCGACTTGGTCCAAAGCCTTTGACCCGTTGTCGCGGCGTGAGCCCGGCCCATATAATGAAAGGTCCGTTAAGGTCCTGACCTCAGGAAACCGTAGCCCCCCTATACCATCGCTTTTCCACCCCGCCCCCAACTCCTAGGCTCCTAGCCCTAAAGTTGCTACTCCTCTCTAATCCCATCTACCCAGCCTCGCTACGATATCACTTCGTCTCTTTGCTCCCTGCTTCCCCTAGTATGGTTGGCCGCCGCTCCTCCTTTAGATTTCTCGACTACTTTCACCTCTCAGCTTTCCCTCCCTCCACCAGGCACTGGTAACTACTCCCTTGATGGATCACCATCTCCTCCACTGTCGGCCGACACTCTCATCCTCTCTATACAATGGTGAGGAAAGCGGGCACCAACTTATGCGACTAATGACAATTCAATAAGCGGGCAGGTCAACTGATGCCTAAACGCTAAGCAAAGGATGACCGATTGTTTACCATTTAGCATCGAGGATAACATAAGCTGACCACGTGGATGACACAACCTGCTGTTATGTTATTTATGTCTAAATGGGCCCATGCCAACTTGAGCTAGGTCGGGCCATCCAGTTGGCTATCTATATAATTATAGGTGAAAATTATAGAGAGAAGAGAATGGGAGGGACATGAATTGGTGGTGGTACCGCCGGCTGGAATTAACTCGTCTATCATATTGTGCTTGGATAGCTAGTGGTGCCGGTGGCATGGCTTGTCTCTTAGACGATATTTTTTACCTTGCGGGGAAGAAGCCAACTAGCCAAGCCAACCCGGCAAAGGATTATATTCAAAGGAATCCTGGGGTTCGGTCATCGGGGTCGGGGCATGCATGATGCGTCGCTCTCGAGCTTCAAGCAGGACATCAGCTATCAGCTAGCGCAGCAGGCGTAGGCCTCCTCGCTCGGCCCGGGCGCCCTCCAGGCTGCTGGCTCGACGGCGCTAGGCTAGCTAGATGTAGCAAGTGAGACTTGGATGCTAACTTGTCGTTTCTTTTTATTTGTTAATAATTGTCCAATTGTTAATTATAAAACTAAAACGTTCGTCTCGCATGAAGTACAACCAAATGTGTAATTAGTAAGACGTCAAATTTCTATCCAAGCATAATTAATCTTATTATTAGCAAATCTTTTTGCATAGTGTCAAAGAATTTATATTGTTAAATAAATATGAGCTAATTATAAAACTAGGCTTAATATATCGTCTCGCAAATTAACATAATTAATCAATTAGCAAATGCAGTAGTTAGTTTTGTAATTAGCCTATGTATTTTTCTAATTGGTATCACAGGTTCGATGCGATAAGGCTAAACTTTAGCCGTGACTCCGTGAGGAAACAAACACCCCATCGGCGTGTGTAGCTGGGCAAGCACGGCTGCACTCTGCAGCAGGTGCAGGGTGAGATGCATGAGACCAGGAAACAGTTGTGTGAGTCGTCTTCTCTTTCCTTGCATTGTCCGTGTGCATTATTGTTGATGCCATGCAATGCAAGAAGCAAGAATCAGGAATTCGCTCCATCGATTCTCTGCTTCGTCTGCAACAGAAAGCTACGTAACCTTTGTGGTTGTGGCCACCCCCCACCGTGCAGATTCCTGCTGTCGTCCTCGTCCCTGCCTACCTCTCTCCTGCATGCTTCCTCCTCCGTACCATCCGCAGGGCGCCTCTCTCTCTCAAGCACTGTGCGCGCCACTGCACACCACCATCATCCACTGCCGCCGTGGCCGGCGTGCCCTGCGCTGGCCCTATATATAAGCACGGTGCAGGCCTCTCCAACTCAGTCTCACAACGGCAGGCAAGGCATCCTCGACCGACCGCTCGCGCAGCAGCAGCAGATTCTATCTCCAACCCGACACCTGCTGCTATCCACCATGGAGGCGCTGCTGCACCAGTTCCCCGTTCCGCCGCCGCAGCCGCTGCCGCAGGACGCGTTGCTGCAGCAGGCTGTGGCGGCGCGCGCGCTAATGATGGCCGCCGGTGGGAACATGGCGCCGTCGACCGCGACCACGGCCGCGGGGGCGGGGCGGGAGCAGTGCCCGCGGTGCGCGTCGCGGGACACCAAGTTCTGCTACTACAACAACTACAACACGGCGCAGCCGCGGCACTTCTGCCGCGCGTGCCGCCGCTACTGGACGCTCGGGGGGTCCCTCCGCAACGTCCCCGTGGGCGGGTCCACGCGCAAGCGCCCGCGCCCGCGGCGCGCTCCACCCGCGCCATGGCCGCCGCCGCCGTCGCCGCTCCCATGGCCACGCCTTCAACAACGACGACGACGACGACCGCCTCGGCTGGCGGCAGCCCGTTCGCCGCCTCTCCAGCAACGCTGCTGCAGGGCACGGGAGGTGGCGGCCTCCTCCTCAGCTCGCTGCTGCTGGGCTCGGTGTCCGCGTCGGCGGCGTCGGCGTTGGCGTCACCGCTACTCGCGCTCGGCACAGCGCCGCTGCTGGAAGGCCGGCTCGTCTTCGACCTCGGCCTCGGGGACGCAGCGCTAGCCGACTTGGCTCACCACCAGCAACTGTCGCTGGGCGCCGGGCCGCTCCCGTGGCCCGCAGCGACGACCGTCTTGGAGGGCGACCGCGCGGAGACGACGACGTGGAAAGCCGCTAGTAGCGTGTTCCCCTACCCGCCGGCCGCCGCGCTGTGGCAGGAGCTTGCCGCGGCGGCGCCGGTGGTGGAGGCCGGTGGGCTGCACCTGCACCACGGCGGCGCCCCGCACCTGCTCCTGTGACACGCTCACACGCGCGCACAAGAGGACGTGTACGTGACGATGTACTACTATTCATGCAGTTATGTCGTTTATTGCATGCATGCATGGTGCTGGTACATGGTGGCAGCTGCGTCGTCTCTTGTGTTGGCTCATTTTTCACGAATTTATGGAGCCTGTCATCGAGACTGATCATCAAGACATGGGGTCAAGATATACTCAACTCTAGTACTCTACTGTTTGTTCTGTACTCAGCTCTAGACAGCCTGTTCGCTTGCTCGTAAACGATCATAAATTTCCAGCCAGAAACAGTGTTTTTCTCTCACACCAAACCAGCCAGCAGTAAATAATCCACGATACGATACGGCCTCCCGAACAGGCTGTTACCGAGATAACAAAAAAAAAACTCTAGTACTCTACCACTAATTTCTTATATTTGTATACTCAACTCTTGTACTCTACAATTTGTTATATACTCAACTCTAGTACTCTAGTGTTTGTAATATACTCAACTCTAGCGACGTATTATCAGGTTTCGTAGTTCAGGGTTAACAGCAGTGTGACATGCAACTTGAAGGTTGGAAAAGGGAATTGTTGGCTCCAGACGTTCTATGGGATAGGATTCCGTTGGAGCCTATCAGAAACAGCGTCGCACTCCCAACGCATCGCTGCAGTCCTTCCCCGTCTTCCTTGTCCCACCCCGCACACCGGCACGCATACCCCGCCCATGTCCGCCTCACCCCGCCCCACGCCCACCACTCCATCCCCCCGACCCCCCTCCTCTCTCTTCGTGCGGGCAGGACCCAAGAGCCGGGATGAGCACGAGCACGCCCCGTCTGCAGGACCCAGGCGCGCCGAGCGCCCCATTCGTCGGTCACCGGCTCGCCGCGCCCCTTCCCATGGCGCCCGGGTCATGCCCAAATGACTCTCTGAACATACATCTGAAACACAAAACACTTGCAACATGAAAATACTTGAATGCAACATACATCTGAAGTAGATAAAATATTTGGAACATACACTTGCAACATGTGTGTGAAACATATACAACATCTAGATAAAACACTTGCAACTTGCAACATGAAACACTTATTGCAATATAAGATTGAATAAACTGAAATATTTCGAACATACTCTTGCAACATATGCAACATTCAGATAAAAATGCTTGCAACATACGTCTGAAACAAATGAAACATTTTGAATATGCAACATCTAGATAAAACACTTGCAACTTGCAACATGAAACACTTATTGCAATATAAGATTGAATAAACTGAAATATTTCAAACATACTCTTGCAACATATGCAACATTCAGAAAAAAACGCTTGCAACATACATCTGAAACAAATGAAACATTTTGAATAAACGCTTGCAACATGCCTCTGCAAAACTTGCAACATGCCTCCGGAACACTTCGCAACATATGTAACATCCCGATTTATTTTTGCAAACATTCATATGAAATACTTACAACATACCTATGGAACATCTAAAACACTTGAAACATACGTTTGCATGACACTCTAGTAGGAGGTGGCCACCATATGTCATGCGTATTGAGGAACTCGATAACCGCCTCGATGGATAGATCGGAGCTGGGAGGTGGCGGAGCCAAGAGCACCACAGGCTTGGCTGTCACGAGCTTCTTCCGCTGGGTGCACCGGGGCGCGTGGAGCCTCGATGCGAGTGAAGTACGGCACGGCCGTGATGCCCTCGTGGTCTCGGCCAGCCGCAGGAGGAGGTGACGAGGAGGACGTCGGCGCCGGCTTCGGCAATGAGGGCAGGGGCGGACGGTAGGCGCGACTCAGCGGTGCAGCCTAGTGTCGTGGAGGCGAGTGAGGGTCCCGGGTTGGAGGAAGCGGAGGTGGTCACCGCTGGAGAGGGCGAGTGGTAGGGAACGCCGCGACGGCCGTGCTAGTTGGGAATGTCGCCGTCTTTTTTTTTTATTTCGAGAAACGATGAAATAATGAAGGTAAATGGAAACAAAACTATTGGGCTGGTAGTGCATAGGCCCAGAAAACGTGACGTCCGGATGGTCGGAACCCGCAATGTTGCATTTCCGATTGGAAAATGTAGTTTACCTTATAAATGACGTTTTACCTTTGTTATAAGTACCATCCATGCGCGTGTATCATATCTCATTCTTCGGATATATGCATATACTGTCGTAACATATTCCTATGTTGATAATGTATATCGCCATTAGGGATGAAATTAGATCAAATATACAGACGGATATCAGGGATCCTGCATTCCATCTCATATTTTTTCGATCTCACAAGCGAATAAAGATCATGTCGAATACTGATACCTATCTTATATACATATCAGAATTCTGATACGATTTTAAGTATTTGGATTCGGATATGGTATAGATATCAAATATTCGGATTCAGATACGGACTATCCATACCAAGTTTTGATCCTTCAGAATGGACAGGATATCGGAAAATATGCATCTCCTTTTCATCCCTAGTCATTCCATGGTCGTCGAACTGGTTCTCGACTTCATTTGCATCCTAAAAACTTAAAGCAAAATTTGAACTCCATGAAGCATCCAGCTTTATATATCGTGTCAAAAGACGTCCTTTGACATAAATATGACGTGGTGGATCCAACTAAAACGGTAGGCAAATGTCAATTTTTGTTTAACAAAAAAGGTTGAAGCAACAACCCAACCACGCATAAATTGGTGGATCCAACTAAAACGGTAGGCAAATGTCAATTTTTGTTTAACAAAAAAGGTTGAAGCAACAACCCAACCACGCATAAATTGGGCATGTGTCGAATTCAACCCAATACAAACCCAGCCTGAAGGGGCCAGGCTACAAAGAAATCATTTCTTGCCAAGCGGGCCAAGACTCAAAAGCATTTTTTTTATTTTCAAGACAAGCAAAGTAGCCGTTGGACTTCCTACTGTCACAGTGTCACTACAACATAAATTACATGATAAAATACTACTTTTCAAACCATTATCTAGAATTTTTTTTCTGAATTTTGGGAATACATTTTAGAGGTAAACAGCTCAATCGAAAACTCAAATATAGCATTCTGAAAAGAATATTAATTTCAAAATTGCAAAAGCTATAATCTAGACCATATGGCTAAAATGGACCGTGATTATTTTTTTAATATTTATTTGAAATATTTATATTTTTTTATGACCCATAGGTCATTTTTTTTGTATTTTAAAAGGAAGGATTAAAAAAAGCGTACACACAACTGCCGCTAACCAGGCACCTTGCGTCAAATCAATTGGCGGTAATCGTTACCACTTACCACCGAACTAAAAGTTAAAAAATCCTGCTCCTGACGAGCCAATTGGCAGTATAATAAGTATATATTTGCAAAAATTTTGACTTAGGTATCTATTTTAAAAATAAATTTAAAAACATAGAAATAAAAGTTGAATAGAAAGCCCACTCCCCCGGGTGCCCTCGTCCTACTCCCTCCGGGTGCCGCTATAGAAAGCCCACTCAGTCACCCACCCTTCACCCTCACCGCACCTCCATCCAAAGCAGCAATGCCACTCTCTGTGTATGCTGGTGGTGGATGGCTGGATGCGTGCATCGAGCCGACTAGTCAAAGTTGACCCGTGTCTGCACTCTGCAGCATGGTGATACGTGTTGTGGCCGTCCCGGTACAATAGTACAGGGTTTTGTGGAAGTGGAGTGCCGCTTTGCTTCGTTGTCGTAGTCCAAATGTTGATAAGTTGGGTGTGTATTTTTTGCTTATCCAAGTGTGCCAAAGGATGTCAAGCTAAATTTTGACTATTTTAGCTGAAATTGATCTTTATTTTGTTCGGTGCCAAAATTTGGCTTGGCAGCCTTTTTCCATTTGGCCATGCTAGTTCATCTTGGTGACCAAAGTTGGCCAAAACCATGGCCACCAATTTGGTGACGGAAGTTTGACTGGTGTTAAATTTTGGCTTGGCTAGGGCATGGCACATTGGGTGAAAACCAAATATGTCCAGCACAGCCATTCTAATGTAACCATCTAGGAATGATAATAGTGTACTTTGATCTAAAGAAGGTTTGTATATAAATTAGATCTTGAGTTCTTGACTCGTAATTTTTCTTACAATATGTTATTAATTACTCGTACTAAACAAAATCAATATTATCTCAGAGAAACTTTAAATACAAACCTACCGGTGTAAGTTTTATATCCTAAACTTCCATAGAATTTCTAATTATTGTTTAAAATAATATAATTTGACTTTTCCCTAGTGCGTGGAAGAATCTGGCTTTTTTGCGAGGGGCCAGTGTGCCACAAGAGCGGGATGGCAGCAAATTGGGTCACTGAAAACATTTCTAATCTGACAACTTAAACTTGATGTTACACTAGATTAACGTGAATTACAAGCTAACTAGCAAGATATGTTATTAAAATTTATCTAGTGTTTCTATTTACCTACCAAAAATAGTTTTGCAACAAAAAATAGGCCCTCATCCCATATCTCATATCCCTTTAACCAAACAAAAACATGAATGACTTCGTCCCTCTAACTAAACTAGGATTGTCTCATTCCAAAAAAGTAGGGATGTTCATAAGGGTATGAGTGTGACACGCGTGGTTATCGGTGTTTGTACTGTGTGATTGTCAAAAAAAAAATCCTTACCCATGTGATATAGGTAAGTTTTAATACTGTACTCAGAAGTCAAAACAAGGTAACTCAAATATATATGTAACTATATATGCAAAATATTGTGGGACACAAATTTTTGAAGTATAGATTTTGCAACATTGTGTGTGTGTGTGTATATATATATATATATATATATATATATATATATATATATATATATATATATATATATATATCTGTCTGCGTGTGGGCCAAGTTCTATCGTTTGATGAAGCCATATATGGACGACGGTAAAATTAATGTTATTAGCAGCATGTAAACTTTGCAATATATGCTCCTGGACAATAATATATAGACGACGGTAAACTTTTTCACTGCCCCCATGGAGACCCTAATTTCGATCAGACGGGGCATAATAATAATTTAACAAAGATGGTAAACTCGGTCAATTTAAGGCCCCGATTTTCAGATTCATCACATCGGGAATCTTAAATGTGAGCGAAAAAAAATTAATTGCACAGTTGGGTGAGAAATCGCGAGACGAAACTTTTGAACCTAATTAGTCCATAATTAGATACTAATTGCCAAATACAAACGAAAGTACTACAGTAGCCAAAATCTAAACATTTTTGGATCTAAACGGGGCCTAAACATCATTTGTCTCCGGGGGCTTGATCTGATGACCCTCCAAATTCGAACCCTCCTCACGGGGCACTGCCCACCGCGTGATCCCATCCGCGCCGTCCACCGCCTCCGGGGATAAGATCTCTGCCGTCCGTTTCGAATGCCTCCGCCTCGATTCAAATCCCGTCGGGCCTTCCAGCGGGCCCCACTCGGGACCCGTCTCGACCAACGGGCAAAGGCACCGCATATTACACTGCGCCGTTCGCCACTGTTCGTCTGTTCCTCCTACCCTTCTTCACGCAGCAGACGGGGGGAGGGAGGTTTTAGAACCTTCTAGAAGGAGGTACTCCTTGCCAGGGCCAGCTCCCGTTGCTCTCTACCTGCGCCTTCTGCGGCGCCGTTCGTTCCGCCCTTCCTCCTGTTCTTCCACTCCGCCCAAGTGGTTCGAATCGAGTGCGGCGCGATCTGAATTTCTCCACCCACCCAAAATTTGAAATCTCCTGCACCTCTGACGCGGATCTCCTCCTCCAGCTTCCAGAAGGCGGCCGCGGCGGCAGCTGACAGAGAGCACCATTCGCCGCCTCGCCATCCTCCTGCTCACCGCCTCCGCCTCCGCCTGTTCCGCCCCGCTCAGGTGCCTCCGCCGCCTCGTCCTCCCAGGCATTTGGCAACAGCTTGCTTCGGTTGTGTTTCGGGCGGGTGGATTTTTTACCAATTATTATCACCCCTCTTGGTGCCAACTCTTATATATAAGTTTGGGGCTGACGCAGAATGGTGAGGGATCACGCCACTCTCCGCCGAACTCCGGCGAAGGCTTCCGCCTCGGAAGCCGGCAACAACGACGAGAACGCGCCGGGCGACGCCCCAGATGTGGCGGCCGTCGCCGTCGTCGTCGCCGCCGCCGCCACGGACCCCGGCCGCCCTCCGCTGCTCGCCATCCAGCCGCCGGCGTCCGGCCTGAAGCGGAAGCCCGAGTCGCCGGCGCCGACGCCCTCCAAGCTCCCGTTCCGGACCCCCGAGAAGGCCGCCGGGCGGAGCCGGTTCGGCTGGGTCCCGCACCGCGCCGACGAGGCCCCACCGCGGCCCGGCGCGGGGGCGACCCCGCACAGCGCGATGACCACGCCCCGTGCGCATCGCGGCAAGGCGGTTGCGGCGCCGACGGCCTCCGAGGGCGGGTCCACACACAGCACGCCCACCAAGAGCGTCGCCAAGCAGGCGCACAGCATTGGGATGAGCGCGTCGAGGCCGCCCATGAGCGGTGGCGGGCCCAGGGGGGCAGGGTTTGGTCTGGGGTTCGCCATGGCGGGGAGGGGGACGCCGATGTCACTTGGGCCGCCCACGGTGGTGAATTCCGCGGAGGTGCCTCATTTCGAGCTCCGAGAGGACCCTTCCTTCTGGATGGACAACAATGTGCAGGTGAACTACATCTACTGCACATCTCTTGCTGCTATCTTGGGAATTTCATGAGTTTTCGTGAAGTGTGTTCTTGATGCATGTGTATATATTGGTCCCAGATTACACAATTCACCTTTTTGGTATATGACTTATAGCACACAAAACGGCGATGCATCCAATGGACAGACACTAGCACTTGCGCTGATTTGGTCATGGTTGTGTAGAGTAGTATAAATGTTCCTTAGTTACTGATTGCGTGTGTATCCTAAAGATGAATTGGTTAGTTTATTTACTTTTCCCGTCTCTTTGATCTTTGAGTTTTAAACACGTCCATATGTTGGAGAGTCAACCTCAGCAAACACTCTTAACTTGTGGTTCATTTTCCAGGTTGTCATTCGTGTGCGCCCGCTAAATAATAATGAGAAGAACCTGCACAGTTATTATCGATGCTTGAAACAAGAAAGTGCGCAGACTATCACTTGGATTGGGCATCCTGAAACTCGTTTTACATTTGACCATGTTGCTTGTGAAGCAGTGGATCAGGTCTGCTAGAATCCAGTTTGACTTGTGATTGGGTTATAGTTCTTGGTTTGTGGTTAACTGCTGAGTTTGCTTTTGCAGGAGGTGCTCTTCAGAGTTGCTGGTTTACCAATGGTTGAGAACTGTATGGCTGGATACAACAGCTGTGTGTTTGCTTACGGACAGGTCTCTACCAAATTTATTTGTGATTTACTCGTTGCCAAAGGAATGCTTTCCTTCCTTTGAATTTTCAGTTGTTTGCAGACTGGAAGCGGAAAAACATATACAATGCTTGGTGAAATAAGCGATCTGGAAGTGAGGCCTAGTCCAGACCGAGGGATGACACCACGCATATTTGAGTTCTTATTTGCCAGAATTAAAGCGGTAATATTATAAAGTTGTTTTTTGTCTCTTTGATAGTTTCAAACATACATAGTTCATTAGCTATTACTGATTAGATGAGCATGTATCCCATGTACGGATGTACCACTTTTCACCGTACCTTGTTTTTATAATGCATATGAAAAGGCACTGTGGGGAACTCCTGCAGTTTTGCGTAAAGAAAGTATGGAATGTGCTATAATCATTGCTTTGTTATGTGAAACTAAAATTGATAGGAAGAAGAGAGCAGGAGAGATGAGAAACTCAAATACAGTTGCAAGTGTTCTTTCCTGGAGATATATAATGAACAAATTACAGATCTTCTTGATCCTTCTGCCACAAATCTCCCAGTAAGCTTTTGTGTTGTTGCTTCAAGTTGACATGACCTTTCAACATGACACCATGATATTTACTAACTTTTTTTATGTGCAGCTCCGAGAAGATATAAGGAATGGAGTGTACGTCGAAAATTTGACCGAATTGGAAGTTGGCTGTGTCAGTGACATAATAAAACTCCTGATGCAGGTAAGTATGTTTGCTGTTTGATATTTTTCTTGTGAATATCTGGTAAACCGATCATATTCAAAATATTCCGCTTGGTCAAAACCTGCTTCAGGGTTCTGCCAACAGAAGAGTGGCTGCTACAAATATGAACCGTGAGAGTAGCCGGTCCCACAGTGTTTTCACCTGTATCATTGAGAGTAGGTGGGAGAAGGATTCAGCATCTAACTTAAGGTTTGCAAGACTAAATCTTGTTGATCTTGCTGGGTCTGAAAGGTAGGAGACTATTCTGTCAATTGTGTCGGAGTATATTGTGCTCAGTTCAATCATGATTCTTGATAATCCACTTGAAACAGGCAGAGGACATCTGGAGCAGAAGGTGAGCGGCTGAAGGAATCTGTTAATATTAACAAATCGTTATCAACACTTGGGTTTGTAACTTGCTACTCAAACTTTTAGATGAATAATATTCTATGGCATGACAAATTTTTGTTCGATCACTCAGCCACAAGTGTTATCATGAATGCATTGCAGTCTTGTGATAATGAGTTTAGTTGATCTAGCGCATGGCAAACAAAGACACATTCCATATAGGGACTCAAGATTGACATTTTTTCTCCAAGTAACAACCTTGACACATCATGTTAAGTTTCAATATATCTGAATTCCCTTGATCTCTGAAATCATTTTATTTCATTTACGATATGCAGGATTCACTTGGTGGGAACTCGAAAACTATGATAATTGCAAATGTCAGCCCTTCAGTATGGTAATGATTCTTATGTCTGGTATAATTACAAATGTATGTGAACTTGTTAAATATTGTGATATCTCCTTTTTGTGTGTTCATACAGTTCTGCTAATGAAACACTCAGTACCCTGAAGTTTGCTCAGCGTGCAAGGCTCATTCAGAACAATGTTAGTATATGCCATTTCAGTATGTTTATCTTCTAAAACATCTTAGGTTACTAACCACAAGCAATTCTTTCCCATTCAAATTTTAAGGCGGTTGTTAATGAAGACGCTTCAGGAGATGTGTTAGCTTTGCAACATCAGATCCGTCTCCTAAAGGTGATGTATGGAGATTTTTAGATCTACCTTTTGTTCCATATGTCATGATCCTAAACTAAAAGAATGTCCTTCTATCAGGAGGAGCTTGCTGTCCTCAAGCATCAACATGTCACTAGATCTTTATCCTTCTCAGCTGATGTTTGTGAAGGTGATATTGATGATGGTAGTGAAAACATGAGTGTGGATGATAAGAATGATAATGATGCCCACAACGGACACTTTTTGAAAGAGATGCAATTTTCAAATAAGCAGGTAACCTGTGTGCATTTGATATTTGTCCATTGGATCTCATGACTTAGTTTTACATGCTGATTGCTTGTCAGGGTTGAACATTTGTTTTGAGCTTAACAACAACAACAACAACAACATAGCCTTTCAGTCCCAAGCAAGTTGGGGTAGGCTAGAGTTGAAACCCACCAAGAGTCCCAAGTCATGGTTTAGGCACTTCAATAGCTGCTTTCCAAGTACTCCTATTCATACATAGATCTCTAAATATATCCCAATCTTTCAAATATCTTTTTATTGCCTCTCCCATGTCAATTTCGGTCTTCCTCTATCTCTCCTCATATTATTAGCTTGGCTTAAGACTCCACAATGCACTGGTGCCTCTTGAGGTCTCCTTTGGACATGGCTAAATAACCTCAACCGATGTTGGACAAGCTTTTCTTCAATTGGTGCTGTCACACCAGATTTTAAGGATAAAATGGGATGCATAATCTTATGTGCGCCCAGAGATCAATCACATACATAAGCCGACAAATTATAGATAGTACCATCACAAGTGTTTATTACATCACGTATAATAAGACGGAGGCTTCACATAAATGTAGCGGAAGTATAAAGAAAAATCTCTCGCGGAAGTTACATATCACAGGGACATCAATTGGTTAACCACATGTCTAGTAATCCTCAGAAAAGTCGTCGTTACCATAGCCATTTATTACCCATTCGGGATTTTTATCCAAATAATGAAAAATAAACAAGCGTAAGTACGTGTCGTACTCAACAAGTGTAACATGGGCTTCATGAGGCTCAAAAGGCTTGACACAGATTTAACAGCATTCAGCTTTTAATTGTCACAAATTTAACATAGGAGTAGCAACAAGTTGTTTTAATCCCATAATAAACACATGATCAATATAAACATGAATAATGAATAGCATAAACGGATAATTCTTAGTGATCATCTATTCCATAAGGGTTCTAAGGCCGCTCGTGACCGTGAGCACGGTGATATACCAGTTTTACACTCTGCAGAGGTTGTATATTTTCACTGTGAGTCGTGATACCCATATGCCCGGGTCAATTACTCCCAAAACACTTTCAAGGTGAGCAGACATGGTTCACTATTAAGCCTTTCAAAGGTCCATCTAACAAGTTAGGGCCATTAGATTCACTCGGCAAACAGATATAGGAACCCCCATGTCGAATGACACAATTCTATCATGGCTATACACATAAGAGTAGAGACTGTCCTATACTTGATTCGGCAAGCCATTCTTACGCCATAAAGGTAACCTCTAACAAGCTAGAAAAGGTCCTCATACTGAGCTAAAACCAGAGGCATGTGACCCTCACAGCTGTATAAGTCCCGGATGATCACTTACAGATAAGTCCTTAGAGAGAGGAATCTGAAGCATTTAGAAAGTAGCTAAATACTCCAACCCCTTATTTTCAAGTTGCTAAAAAGTTATATTTTAATGTTTATTGCATATACCATTAGTCAAGTTACAAGATCATGGTTTAGTTGAGTACTAGCAAAGCTACCCAATGCATATCCCATAGGAGACAAGGTATAAGTCCAATTCTAGGAAATCCCTATCAAGGTGACACATGCAATAGGAATTAAATGTATTAAAGTTGATAGGAAATAAGAATAATCCCATGCTATACTTGCCTTGAACAAAGTGTTTCTGCTCGTCAAAGCAGTACTCTTGATCACCCACGAATTGCTCACTATCTATACTCGATAATCACAGCAACATACAAGCATTTAGAAGCAATCATGCATAGCAAACAAAGGCTATAGATTAGAACAGTACATCAATCAGCATAAAATTAAGATGAAAAGTTTATAAAACAAATCTACGTCTTGCTACGAACACACAGACGCGAAGATCACGAAAATCGAAGCTAAAACGAAGAAGTTATGAATTAAACAAGATTTTCTTTATTAAAATAATTGATTAAATCTAACATCAAATTTTAAAAGTTGAAAACATACCTAACAGTAGTATGAACATGTAGATTGCACAATTATGAATCTAATGCAACTTGAACGGATCAAAACGGAGTTAAAACGAAGAAGTTATAGCTTAAATAAGACTAGTGGCAAAACTGTAAATAAAGGAAATGTATTTTGAATCTAACAGAGGGGATCTACGTTTTCAGAAAGAGAAAACGTATTCTGGAAATACGCTATGGACTGTGGATTCTATTTAGATAAAATTGAGGGGCTCTTTAGCTAATGTGACAAACGAAGGGGTATGGTGCGTTATGAACCGTTGGATCTAATCTGGACGGCTCAGGTTAGACGAGGGAGAGAGAGGCTGCTGGCCGGAACAGTGCCGGGCGCGGCGGCTTCGATGGCTGGCGGCGAAGGAACTCACCGGCACACATGGTTAGGGCCCTAGAGGCCACGGTTTGATGAACCGAGAGCTCCAGATCAAAGAGGAGACGAAGGCGAACTCACCAAGGGGCTATACGCGGACGAAGGCGGAACTGTAGCGACGTGCGGCTCAGCGGCTTGAACTCGTCGGCGGCGGCTAGGGCTTGCGGCGGCTGCGAGCTCTAGGCGAGGTAGCGGCTTGCGTTAGGGCTTGGTAGGAAGCGGCGGACACGGGGCTGCTATTTAAGGGGTGAACTACGGGGGCGCCAACCCAGTGAGTGAGTCAGGCGGGATGCGGACTCCGACCCCACGAGCTAGAGGTGGGGGAGCCGACATGGGGAAGGGGGAGAGGAGAGCGAGGGCGGCCAGTGTGGGCATGGGAGAGGAGGCTGGGCTGCTGGGAAGCGGGGAAGGGGAGCGAGAGAGCCACAGAGCTACTGGGCAGCCGAGGAGGCCGGAGAGAAAGGGGCCAAAAGCCAGGGAGAGAGAGGGTAACATTCCTTTTTTTCTATTTTTTAAACACATTTCAAATCCAATTTCAAGTTAAATTCAAATTCTTTTGCAAATTTCAATCAAACTGAGAGCGATAGGTCTTGGGAAATTATGATAGATTGATATGGGTATAGGGAGTACATTATATAGGCAAGGATCAGAAAGGGTTTATAGAAACACCCAATCAACGGTGATCCTTGCCTAATCAATAATCATCTACCATAATCCCTAGAGGCAGAGCCCACAGCCAGCCCATAGGCGCCTATTCTAACACGCTCCCGCAGTCGAATCGTCAGCCACTCTGCACGTTTAGACTAGACCTGAACTCCGTGAACACTGAAGAAGGCAGCCCTTTGGTGAAGATATCCGCATATTGTGAAGAATTGGGAACATGCAGAACACGAAGATCACCAATGGCGACTCGCTCCTGGACGAAGTGAAGATCAATCTCAATGTGCTTGGTTCGCTGATACTGTATCGGGTTGGAGGTCATGTAGACGGCACTGATGTTGTCGCAATACACCAGTGTGGCGCTGCCGGAGAGGGGCATGCAGCTCTAGAAGAAGTTGGCGCAGCCAGGTGGCCTCAGCAACTCCATTGGCCACCGCGCGATACTCGGCTTCAGCACTGGATCTTGACACCGTGTTCTGGCGCTAAGAGGACCAGGATACAAGATTGTTGCCAAGAAACACAGCATAGCCCGAGGTGGACTTGCGGGTGTCTAGACAACCAGCCCAATCAGCGTCGGTGTAGACGACAAGATCAGCCGAAGTAGACGGTCGCAGCAGAAGACCAAGGTGGAGAGTGCCTCGAACATAGCGCAGAATCCGCTTCAAAGCTGCAAGGTGAGGCTCACGAGGGTCGTGCATATGAAGACAGACTTGCCGCACAACATATGCAATATCCGGCCGGGTGAACGTTAGGTACTGTAAGGCTCCAGCGAGGCTGCGAAAGTCTGAAGGGTCAGAGACAGGGGTGCCATCTGCTGCAGGAATCTTGGTTGGTGTCAGCCCGGAGTGGAACACGGCTTACACTCGCCATCCCGGTAGCGATCAAGAATGTCCAAAGATATATTGTCGCCGAGAAAAAGAAGGCCATCACCACTGCGTTGAACATGCATACCGAGGAAGTAATGCGGTTCACCAAGGTCTTTCATAGCGAACTCTCGAAGAAGGGTGAGATGATCCGTAAAGAAGGTCTGGTTGAGGAAATTTGTGAGGACGATGTCATCAACATAGAGCAACAGTAGGTCAGGTCTCGATCCGCTACCGGTAAACGAAGAGCGAGGTGTCGACTTGGCTTCAAGAAACCCAAGGGACAACAAGTGTGTGCCCATGCGATCGCATTTACCAAGCACGAGGGGCCTGCTTGAGGCTATATAGTGACTTCTTCAGGTGACAAACATAGTCCCGTGGGAATAGAACATGTGAAAGGGAGGAAGACTGAGATGTCATATGTGAAGTAGCACCTGTGTCGAAGTACCACTCGTTGGACGAAGGAGGGTCGATGACGCGTCTTTGAAGGAAGAGGCGAGGGCCGTCTGGTCCCAAGAAGGAGGCCGCCACAGGATTGTAGTACCGGGTGACCCACCATCCCCGAGCCATCGAGAAATGGATGGCGGCAGTGAAGTCGCCTGGTCCGTTGTTGTGCTCTGCAGATGAGGAGGCACCGGGATGGGTGCCGCGGAGGACGAGGACCCCCGCCACATTCGAATGGAACCCATCCATGGGTTGTAGACCTTTGGGCCGGGGGCGACCATCGGTGGCAGGTGGCTGGCCGCCGCCGGTCTCTTCTTTGGGGCCAGAGGGAGGGCGGTGGCCTCCTCGGTCTTGTTGTTGCCACCAGCCCCCCTTTCCCCTGGCCGCGCGCGCTGCCGCGCGATTGCCGCCGCTGAGGACTTAAGCGCAAGAAGCGCCCTCTCGAGCCCGTGTTGGACGTGGGTGAGGCAAAGATTGGAGGAGCTCCTGCCGCGCGGTGGAGGCGGCGAGAGCGATGGCGAGGGGACTCCTTGTTCTCCAATGGGAGTTCCTCGAGGATGAGGTCATCACGAGCCTCCGGAAGGAAGGTGGGGAAGGGCAGCTGCGGCGTAGGAGGGCCCCGACGGGTCAAGCGCTTCGTTGAGGCCACGGATCACGTTAAGGACGAGGGTGCGGTCGGTGATCGCCGCCAAGAGCCGTGAGGTCGTCACCATCTTCTTTAGCCCGCCGGCGATAGTCGGTGTGACGGAGAGGTCGCCTCGGGACGGTTGCGAAACCGCGTCTCAAGGTGGATGGAGCGAGCCTCCCGGTTGCCGAGGAACTGGGACTCGACGGCGAGCCAGGCATGCCGGGCAGTGGAGCCCTTGGCGGGGATGATCTCGGCAAGGTCGTCGGTGAGCGTGGCGACGATCCAGGACTTGACGACGCAGTCCATCCGAGCCCAGTCAGGGGAGATCGGGGCCGGAAGTTCCTCGTGGACGTGGTCCTGAAGAAAGAACTTGCCGAGGATGAGCGGAACCGATCGCGCGCAACGGGTTGAAGTTGTTTGAGTCGACGCCCGTGACGGTGGTGACTGGTTCCGGATGTTGTTGGCGGCGGCACCGGCGTCGCGGATTATGTAGCAGGTGCCATGGCCTCATGCAGGAGCATGCCTGAGGCGGGGTTGGTAGGAAACGTTGAAGATGTGTTGGAGGAGGCGCCGCCAGTGCTGCTGGAGAAGCGGCGGCGGCGGCGGCGGCTTGTGGCTGGGGGCTTATTGGCGCGGGCAGCAGCCGTGTCGTGATCTTTGACGGCGGCTGCAGCCTCCTCCTCGGCTTTCGGGCAACATGAGCTGTGGCGGCCAGCGCTCCCTTGTCGGGAAGTTGGGCGGCGACGGCGGCGGCGGCGGCGGCGTTCGCCTTCTCCTTGGCCTGGCTTGCCGCGATCTCGTCGTGATAACATCCCTAGACACGGGAGAGGGCGGGGAGTGGGAGACATGTATTTGACAGGCAGAGGCCGCAAGACGCTTGAGGTGTGCGTGGAAGGGAAAACCTAAACCTAGGCGGCTGATACCATGAGAGCGAATAGGTCTCGGGAAATTTTGATAGATTGATATGGGTACATGGAGTACATTATATAGGCAAGGATCAGGAAGGGTTTATAGAAACACCCAATCAACGAGGATCCTTGCCTAATCAATAATCATCTACCATAATCCCTAGAAGCAGCCCAGCCGATAGGCTTGGGCGCGAGGCCCATGGCCAGCCCATAGGCGCCTATTCTAACACAAACTAAAGCATCACAAAATAAATATGCATCAACATAAATGCACAAACATGTATGTAGACCTTATATTTGATTTTAATTTAATAAATTTATTAATTTTTTTAAGTTTAAATGCTCACAAAATGCACAAATAAATCATTTTCTCCTATTTTAAAATCTTGTAAATTTTAGGGTGTTACAATTTTAACTCTAGGCGATCACGTATATCATCGTTCCGAACTCGGTCTATTCTTGTGTGACCGTAAATCCATCGCAACATACGTATTTCTGCAACACTCAGTTGTTGAACATGTTGAATCTTTGTAGGCCAACATTCTGCTCCATACAATATAGCTGGTCTAATCGTCGTTCTATAGAACTTGTCTTTTAACTTTTGTGCTACCCTCTTGTCACAGAGAATGTCAGAAGCTTGTCGTCACTTAATCCACCCTGCTTTGATTCTATGGCTAACGTCCGCATCAATATCTTTATCCCTCTATAGCATCGATCCCAGATACCGAAAGGTATCCTTTTTAGGCACTACTTGACCTTCGAAACTCACATCACCCTTCTGCTGTACAACTTCGCCAAAGTCGCATCTAATGTATTCGGTTTTAGTTGTGCTCAATCTAAAACCATTAGACTCAAGAGTTTGCCGCCATAACTCTAGTTTCCTATTTACTCCGCCTGGCTTTCGTCCACTAACACTACATCATCAGTGAATAACATACACCAAGGGATATCCACTTGTATGTTCCTAGTAACCTCATCCATTACCAAGGCAAAGAGATACAGGCTTAAGGCTGACCCTTGATGAAGTCCAATTTTAATCGGGAAGTAATCTGTGTTACCATCGTTTGTTCGGACACTAGTCATAATATTGTTGTACATGTCCTTGATGAGGGTCACGTACTTTGATGGGACTTTATGTTTGTCCAAAGACCATCACATAACATTTCTTGGTATCTTGTCATAAGCCTTCTCAAAGTCAATGAAAACCAAGTGGATGTCCTTCTTCTGCTCTCTAAACCGCTCCATAACCTATCTTATTAAGAATATTGCTTCTGTGGTTGACCTTCCGGGCATGAAACCAAATTGGTTTGTTCATATCTGCGTCGTTCCTCGCAGACGCTGCTCGATGACTCTCTCCCATAACTTCATAGTGTGGCACATCAACTTAATTCCTCGATAATTAGTACAATTTTGGATATCTCCTTTGTTCTTATAAATTGGTACCAATATGCTTCTCCACTCCTCAGACATCTTGTTTGATCGAAAGATGTTGTTGAACATCTTGGTTAGCCATACTATAGCTATATCCTTGAGACATCTCCACACCTTGATTGGGATACCATCAGGGCCCATCGCTTTGCCCACTTTCATCCTTTTCAAGGCTTTTCTGATCTTCGATTCTTAAATTCTCAGCACAATGCGCTTGTTAGTGTCATCCAACGAGTCGTACAGCTGAACGGTGGTGTTCTTGTTCTTACCATTGAACAATTTGTCAAAATACTCTTGCCATCTATGTCTGGTCTCATCCTCCTTCACCAAAGCTGCTCCCTCTTGACTTGGTTGAAGTCCCTTGTCTTCCTATCGCGAGCCCTAGCCATCCTATAAATGTCCTTTTCTCTTTACTTGGTACTCAAACGTCGGTAAAGGTCCTCATAGGCCAGCCCCTTTGCCTCACTCACCGCTCGTTTTGCAGTCTTCTTTGCCACCTTGTACTTCTCTATGTTGTTTGCACACCTGTCATGATACAAACACTTATAACATTCCTTTTCCTTAATAGCCTTTTGTATATTTTTATTCTACCATCAAGTGTTTTTCGAGTCGCATCCGCTCGCTTTGGTCACTCCAAGCACCTCTGAAGCAATCTTCCAAATGCATGTTGCCATCTTCTCCCACATGCTGTTTGCATCGCCTTTATCATTCCAAGGGCCCTCTTCAATGACCTTTTCCTTAAAGACCTTTGATGCCTCATCTTCTAATTTCCACTACTTCGTTCTAACAACCCTAGCTTGTTTGTTCCCACGAGCTTGCACCAGAAAGCGGAAGTCAGTCACCACCAGCTTGTGTTGAGCAACCACACATTCTCCAGGTATCACCTTACAGTCCACGCATGTTCGTTTATCCCTCCTTGTAAGGACAAAGTCGATTTGACTAGAGTATTGGCCGGTACTAAAGGTCACTAAATGGGACTGTCTCTTATGGAAGAAAGTGTTAGCTATTCATCAGATCAAAAGCTATGGCGAAGTCTAAGACTTTCTCTCCCTCTTGGTTCCTACTACCATATCCGAAACTCTCATAAACCGTCTCGAAACGTGCACTTGATGTACCTATATGGCCATTAAGATTACCTCCTATAAAGAGCTTCTCGCTATTAGGGACAGCTCTAACCAAGTGATATAAGTCTTCCCAGAAAAGCCGCTTAGCACTCTCATCATGGTCCACTTGGAGGGCATACGGACTAATTACGTTTAAGACCATATCACTAATGACAAATTTAACTAAGATGATCCTATCCCCTTGCCTTCTCATCTCCACCACACCATCCTTGAGGCTCTTATCAATCAAAACTCCTACTCCATTTTTATTTGAAGTTGTCCCTGTGTGCCAGAGCTTGAAGCCGATATTGTCCACCTACTTTGCATTCTACCCCTTCCATTTAGTCTCTTGGACGCATAAGATATTTACACGCCTCCTAACTGTTGTGTCCACTAACTCTCTTAACTTACCTGTAAGGGACCCTACATTTCAGCTACCTAAATGGATCCTAATTGGTTCGACTAGCTTCCTTACCTTCGCACCCGCCGAGGTAGGTGTGAAGACCCTTGCTCATTTTGCACCACACCCGGACACCGATGTGGCGCGCCAAAGGATGCGATGACCCGATCCTTGCTCACTTGACACCGTGTCCAGATCGCGACACGGCGCGTCACGGGGGTGACGACCCGGCCCTTACTCATTTAACACCATACCCGAGTTCTGACATGGCACGTCGCTAAGAGGGTTACACCCAACGGGATTCTTTTGGGTTTCATCTCCATTAAAGTGGCTAAGTTTTTACATTAGCTCGCCGCGCCTAACACAACCCTCCTCCGTTACCAGGGCTTGGGACCTGCTATGCTGGGACACCAAAGGCGCCCCACCATAGGTTTGAATATTATTGAACATAAACAAGCAAACACATCTCTAGTTACATGGTCTTGTGGTGTTGTTGTTTTTACTTTGTATCGCCAGAAATCGACCAAAGTAGAAATTTGTTCGCTTATATATACATAAATTTATTGCAGGTGAGGTCACTGAAAGAAGCACTAGCCGGAGCATTGCGGAGAGAATCAACTGCAGAAAATACTATAAGGGAACTTGAACTTCAAATTGAGCAGTTGAATGAATTGGTAATTTCTGGTGACAACAAAATACTTTTTGCAATACCAACCGATAAAAAATTGTAAGGTGACATAAATATGTTTTTTTTATGTGTCCAAAGGTTAAACAAAGAGAGGATGACACAAGATCGGCTAAGATGATGCTTAAGTTTCGAGATGAGAAGATTCATAGAATGGATGCTCTTGTGAACAACAAATTGCCAGCAGAATCATATCTACTGCAAGAAAACAAAACCTTGTCACAAGAAGTTGAACTTAGGGCAAGAATGGATAAAAATCCAGAAGTAACTCGTTTTGCACTAGAGAATATTCGTCTCTCAAGCCAACTGAAGAAGTATGCAGTATGCACATATAATTATATTACACTTTAAGCACATGATTCTACTTTGCATGCAGACACAGAAATGTTGCACTGGAGTAAATATTTTGGTGTATTTATAGGTCCCAGCAGTTCTTCGACGAAGGGGAGAGGGAGCTTCTATTGAATGAAATTTCTGAGCTTCGAAATCAGGTCTTTATTAAACCTTATTTTGTAATTCTAGTAGGTGCACTACTGTTTATTTTACTCAACTTTCCTTGACCTGACAGGTTTCACAAATATTTGAAGAGAGGATAGAAACTGAGCAACAAAATATCTTTTCTGACAAAACCAAGGTTAAGTTTGTATTTAGTTCTCTGTGCACAATTAATCTCCCTACAAGTTTACTCAAAGTTTTTTTTCTTCTTTTTGGACAATTTCAGGACAGCCAACAGCATTGCACTGGTCTAGCTCCAGGAAATGATGCTGAAATTTTGCATATGCAGCAGGTATCCTTTTGCCCTCTAGAGGAGCACTAAATTGTTTCTTTCTAGTTGTATTTACTAAAAGTCTACTGTTCCATGTGATGTATTAACAGATTTCTTTTTTAAATCTCTGTTTTTATGTCCAGCAGAAAAGGACCAGCCAAGAACTAGAGACATGTAGACGCGACTTGCAAGTTTCCTTAGAATCAAAAAGAGCACTAACAAGGTAATTGCATATTCGAAAAAAAGGTTCTTGGTTGGAATTTCTGTCATTGAAGCAACTAAATCACTTCACAGGGAAATAGCTGATCTTGTGGAAGAGAGAACAGCCCGTGCAGAAGTTGAGGAAAAATCAGCTGGTTTAGGTGATAAACTGCAAGAAGCAAATATACATATTCTCCAATCGTGTAAGCATTGTGAGGCCATGGAAAGGGTATTGAATGAGTCAAGATCTGTTATTGAAGCTCTTGAATCAGAGCAGATTATGTTGATAAATGAAATAGATGAACTTAAGAAGAAGAGGTGTGTCGAAATCTCAAGTTTGAACAATGAACTTGACCTCAACCATAGACAGGATTACTTGACCAAAGAGGAGCCCAGAGCAAGATTTCTTGAGTGTTTTGATAAAGAAGATTCACCTTTGCAGAGAAAGATTAAAAGAATGCAAGCTTCACTTGAGAAGGCACGGAAATTAAATACAAGGTACCAAATAGATCAGGCATCACACTGTTTTGCTGAGAAAGAAATGGATGAAGTTCGTAGACAGGTGGAGACTGAAACAGCTAAGGTGATTGAATGCTTAGAACAAGATCTGGTATCACTCCAACAGCAACTAAATGCAAGCAACAAAAATGACTTGTTAGCCAAACAAAGAATAAATGAACTTCACCTAGAAATAAAGCAGTTGAATGATAAGTTACTTGAGGTGTTGAAAGAGAACGAAATACTTTCTTCTGTGATCAAGGAAAAAGAAAAGGAAATTGAAGTATTGACCAATGACTGGAACAGATTAGCTGGTGACATTGGAAGCTGTCTTGTGGATGGAAATATAGCTTTAGATGAAGCTTCTGATCAGGCTGCCTTTATTTCCAAATCTTTATCTCAAAGAAAATGGATCAAGAAACAAGTTCTGAAGATGTGTAGTGGTATATCTGAAAGAGATGAGCTATTTGAAGAGCTTCAGAACAGGTTGAAAGAGGCAGATAATATAAGATGTGACTTAGACTTGAAGTTAAGGTCCTTAAGAGGAGCAATGCAGGCTGTAAATGAAGAGCATCAGCAGGAAAAATGTGATCAAGAAAAAGAAATATATCTTCTAAGATCACAAATATCTGAACAAGGACTTGTGAACGATCACCAATTAGAAGAAATTCACAGAATAAACCTTTTGTTGGATGAATCAATTGAGACATTTATGCAGAAGGAGGTTCTGGTACAGAACTATGTTTCTTTACAAAAGGCAATGGGAGAAGAGATTCATCGGCTGGAGTCACAATTAGACCAGTCAAAGGTACAGTTTGCTCATTTATTGAGTCAGACTCAGGACAAGGAACAGTCTATTGGGAAGCTAAAAAATGAAGAGTTCAATGTTTTATTAAGACTGATGTCAGAAGTTCTGAAGGCAAATGGTATTGTACGTGAGCTTCGAATTGGATTCAATACATTGCAATCAAGCCTTTCTATGAGCCCTGAAGAGATCACCTGTCAAAATTCAGACTTGAACTTGGAGGACCGGGTAAGCTAATGCTCTTGTTATTTGGTAATCAAGGTGAACAATACAATCCACTGTTATATGTCAGTAAGTTCCTCACATTGATCAATTTATGTCAATTTAAGACTGGCGATCTTTATTCATTCAGGGTATGACCATATTTTAATCCATGTTGTAGGTCGACCTTAGGATCAACGAAGCGTCCCAATCTGTGGAGCGGCAAAATGTTGAGGTTCTTTGCCAACTTAGCAAGGAAATGGAGCTTGCAGTTCTAGGAATGCAGATAATGAAGTCTCAAATGGCTAAACTTCTTCAAGAAAAAGAAAATGTGAAAGAATTTCATTTGGAGACTCAAAAAAGAATTAAAGATCTAAGTAGTGAGGTCCTTAGATTGAATTCACAAATAATTGAAAAAGAAAGATCCTATGAAGCTAAATTGAAAGAGCTGAATACAAAGATCCAAGAACAGGATGCGTCATTTATTTTGTGGAATGAAGAAAAAGAGGTAATAATTGAAAGGCCATCATGCTCTCTCCATAAAAGTATTTTGTTTCTAAAAAGCTTTTTGTGGTTTGATGAATAACAATATCTTCCGTTTCAGTTAGTGTAGTAATTTATCATATTTAGCCTTTTTTTCTTCCTTGCAAAAGTACCTCTCTCTCTCTCTCTCCCCCCTCACTTTTTCTCCAGTAAAAGAATTCTTATGTGCTGTATACTGTATGTTTGGCTTGTAGAATGTGGTAATGTGCAACAAGTAACAGTTAAAAATAGAATGATTTATGATGCTTTATGGAATTTCTAGTAAAATAGCTCCTTTGGGGTTTGCCACATTGGTTTAAAACATCATCAGTCACCCATGTTTTGTTAACAGAAGTGTTAAAGAACTCAAGGGTACATATGTCATACTGTTGTGACCTGAATTGCAAACTTTCAATTGTTATCTGTTGTTGATTATGGATATTTATATTTTATGCAATATGAAGGGCAGGCCTGGTGCAGTGGTGAGAGCTGTCTCACTGAGTCATCAGGTCGTGGGTTCGAAGCAGCCTCTCCGTAGATTTTGTGGGGGGAGGCTTGCCTCGGTTTTTCCCTTCCCTAGACCCCACTCATGTGGGAGCCTCCGGCACTGGATCTGCCCTTTTATATTTTATGCAATACAATGCGTGTTGGCCCTACCCGACACATTGTTTGCTTACGGAGATAAGTATACAACAGTTATAGGTCTGCGTTTGATGATGAAGGCTTGTTGTATCTTTCCTTGAGTTAGTTCTTTCCGGATTCCTCACTGCCTCTGTGATCATATCCACACATCATAATTTTTTCAGGCACTTGAAATTGAGGTTTCTGAGGCAAAACTTGTTGTGGCCCAGAAATCTTTTGAGTCTGCAACTCTTATAGCCAAGTTTGAAGAAGCGCAAGCAACTATAAGTGATGCAGACTCTATGGTCAAGGCACTGGTTGAAGCGAACGAAAAGGCAAAACTCGAAGCAGAAAAGTATCAAGAGAGGGAAACTTTGTTTATTGCTGAAAGGGAAGGCATGTTAAGTGAAATTAATAGTCTGAAGAGGCTGCTGGATATGAAAGAACAAAGTTACAAGCTTATGGAAAAGAAATTTCAGTCAGGCTTGCTTGAAGCAAATGAGCTAGCTCTTGAGCTGGAAGATGGCATTAGATTTCTGCAGAATTTGTTAGTACAGAAGCTTGAGTTTGTTTCTTCTGATGTTGAGTGGATGAAGGAAAGGATCCAGCAGTTTGCAGAGTTGACCAGAAAATGGGTAGAGGAGAATTGGCTGGAGATAATTGGCAAAGATTGTGCTATTTCTGTGTTGCACCTCTGTCACATGGGGATTCTTTTGGAGAGAATCACTGGGTTGAATGCAGAAAATGGTTTCCTTCAGCGTGGGCTCTGTGAGTCTAATTCTTTGATATCTAAACTGCGAGAGCACAACGACAAAGCCAAGAATGAACTAGAAATGTGCAGTGTTCTCAAAGGGAAGTTATTGCATGACATCAACCATAGTTTCAGTCATATTGCAAAGAAGGAACAAGAAGCAACCGAGTTGAACTCAAGATTAGATTCTTTTGAGAACAAGGTTCTGCATTTGCAAGCACAAGAAGAAGCAATGGTGGCACGGTCAAATTCCATGCACAGCGAGCTTTCCATTTTGATTGAAGAGATTGATGCTACAAATAGGAGTGCCTTGGAAGCTGAATCCAAAGAAAAAGAAGAACTGCGCGACCAACTGGATGAAGCTTTGCTTCTCAGTGAAATGTTGAAGGATAAAATGCTTGTAGAGTTGAATCTGCTTCAAACAGATAACTACGTACCTTTAAATAATATTCAAGGCTTCAATGAATTTGAGCTGTGCAATTCACTTTCAGATTATCGAAGTGATTTGGTGATGACCAGTATTATGGCAAAGGATATTGAGTCTACTGTTTTGGCTTGGGAACTGAAGCAACAAAAACTACAGCTGCAAGAACAAAGAGTTATGTTTACTGATGTCCTTGAAGAATTGATGGCAGAAGCAACTTTATGGAAAGTGGACCTGCATTTGGAGAATATTGCGATCTGCACTTTACATGAGGAGAACAATGAGGCAAGGGTTGATTTGGAGAACCTGAAGCAAAATGGTGAAGAATCTATGAAAATTCTGCATGCCATGAACGAGGAAAACACAACACTTAAATATTCAATTGCATCCTTAGAATCTAGGATCACATCCTTCCAAACAAATTTGGATGCAAAAAACAAAGCTTTGATGGAGCTGGAATGCTCTCATGCAACCATATGTAGGGAGCTGGAACTGAAAACTGATGCCATGAATCGCATAAGTACTAGAGAAAATTATTTCAGTTCTGAAAATGCAACGTTGAAGCAGGAAATTCGAAATATTTTGTGCAAGGATCAGCGCATGGTTGAATTAATGGCTAACATTGAAGTTGATAAGTTATTTGTCACCATTGAAGGCCGCTTGCAACTGGTTACTGATCATGTGCACAATTACATTTCTGAGCAAATTAACATGGTGAGCAAGTTATCCAATGAGTTAGACATCATTGAAGTATCAGCTCAGGAATTAAGCACCCAGAATTCTCTTCTCGAATCAGAATTAATCAGGAAAGAGGAATTAACAAAGGGCTTATCATTTGATCTTAGCCTGTTACAAGAGTCTGCATCTGTTGCAAAAGATCAAGCAACTGAGATTACAGCGTTGAGAAAAGTAATAGAATCTTTGGAACAAGAGCTTGCATGTAAGTCGCTTGAACTTGATGATGTCGTTTCTGATAGGCAACAATTAGAAGCAAGAATCTTGAAGTGTAATGAAACTGTTGGTGCCCTAGAGGAGGAACTGGGAAAGAAGTTTGATGAATTAAACATGGTTTCTATGGAGAATGCTGAACTAAAATCACAGCTCCAGTATATTGAAGAGATTAGTTGCACTATGGAGGAGTTAGCTGATAAACGTGAAGTCATTGGAAGACTTGAAGAAAAGTTGATTGAACTGAGAACTTTAATTGATGAAAGGGATGTCTGTCTTCAGAGCTTGCAAAATGATTTCTCCAAACTCTCAGATGAAAAGGCATCATGTGACACTGAGTTGCTTATCTTGAAAGAAAAGCTGGAGATGGCTCAGGCACTTGCAGAAGAAAGTGAAGCAATTGCTACAGAATCTCGGCAGGTGTTTAGAACTTATTTGATTATTATTAAATTGATGTGTATTCATTGAAATGGTTTTTAATTCTTGTTTCTGTGAATATAATTGTCCCAATTCCATTGAAAATTGCAGATAGCTGAGGAACATAAGGCATATGCTGAAGGGAAGGATGAAGAAGTAAAGGTATTGGAGAAGTCAATTGAAGTACTTGAGAATACTGTATGTACTTTAGAAAGCGAAGTAAGTTGTGCTGCTTTTTTTATTCAAGTGTCGATTAACCATTCAATTTTGTTTGTCATCATTTTGAACGTTTATTCTTTCTCAACTCTAATTTTGGTTATTTCTCCTAAGGTGGACATTGTCAAGGAAGAAGCAGAGCGGCAAAGAATGCAGCGAGAAGAACTAGAAGTTGAGCTGCAGAAAGTTAGGCAACAAATGCTAGCTGTTCCGCCCTCTGGGAAAGCAAGGAGATATATGGAAGATGGAGTGGTTGATTTAGCTGACTCATCCGGGTTTGTATGATTATCAGTTCTATTACAAGCTACATATATTTACAGTTGTAAGAGAAACAGTTACCACTCAACCTGACTCTCTTGCAGGCACCCAACAGATATGCATAATGAGCTTCTCTGTGCTCAGGAGACTATTAGAATACTTGGAAAGGAGGTTTCTGAGAAGGAAGCAGAGGTAATCACAGATTCGTTAATTGTTTACCAGCTCACTTGCAAGGTTTTATTAGTCATTCATGCATTCGTTTTACTGCTGTAAAGTGTAGTCCATGTTATAGATTTCAGGACTATTTTTTTTTCTCTGTATAGATTGCTCAGTGCAAGGAACATATCTCAGAGATAAACATTCATGCTGAGGCAGCGGCACAAGAATACAAGCGCAAGGTAAGCACTTTGTGTGTCTGTTTATTTTGAAGAACTCAACTTATTAATAATCAAAATAAAACTAATGAAAAATGATCTGGTTAGTTGATGGAGCTGGAGGTCATGGCACAACAGGTTAAGACAGACAATTCCTCAGCACATGCTTGCTCCGGGAGACAAGAGAAGATTAACTCAAAACCTCGGGGTTCAGGTTCTCCATTTAAATGTATCGGCATCGGCTTTGTACAGCAAATGAATTCTGAGAAAGATGAAGAGCTTAGTGCTGCAAAGCAACGTATTGTGGAACTCGAGGGCATAGCAGTTAGTAGACAAAGGGAGGTGAGGTTACTCTTAGCTTTTCACTTCTTTTTTTCTACTTTTTATTATTTTGCCAACCTATATTTGTTATTTTGTTTGAAGATATTCATGTTGAACGCGAAATTAGCAACAACAGAGAGCATGACGCATGATGTGATTCGTGATATGCTTGGGGTTAAAATGAACATGACAACTTGGGCGGTAGGTATACGGTTTGTGTACCTCATTCATCGTAAAATATTTTCAGTTATGCATCTAAACCAATTATGTTGCAGGCTCTAGCTGACAACCAGCAAAAGCTGGAGACAAAAGAGTCGATTACTTCTCAAGCACAGGAAAGTAAAGAGGTAAGTTCTGCATAATAGTTTTTGTCAACTAATCTTCCTTCTTAGCATTTATTTTAACATATATGTTCAGAAGTCCAATGAGATGATGAAGTTGAAGAAGCAGCTTGATGAATTGATTGAAGAGAGACAGAGGTAGATACTTCACCATCTGTGACCTCTTAGCATCTCAATAATAGGTCATGGTGACGACATGTTGATTTTATGGTACAGTTGGCTTGACGAAATAAACCAGAAACAATCAGAACTTGGAACTGCCCGCATTACTATAGAGAAATTACGACAACGAGAACACTTTATGATAGCTGAAATAGAGTTGTTAAAGGTACATCATTCATTTTTCTATTGCAAGAGGACCATTCTTATTCCTCTCTCCTTATGGTATATTTTGTAATTACTGTTGGTTGGTAATTTGTAGGCTGAGAATTCAAACTACAAAACTATCATCCTTAATCTTGAAGGTGATGTGAAGAACCTTACCAGACAACAGAATCTTCAGCTTCGAATAAATCACCATGTCAAAACAAAGGTAATGATTATTTTTGGTACTTAATTTGGCTTTTGTGAACATTGGTGTTTCCCTGTGTGATCATCTTATGCATCTTCACACCACTGAACAGGAAGAGAATATCCTGCTGAAAAGGCAGAATGAAGAGCTAAGTGCAAAGCTGAAACAACTGGGGGGCATCCTTACCCGTACAAAGGAAGAGCTTGCCCGCTACAGGGTTTCAGATGGAAAAGATCAACACGAACAGATAGAGGAGGAAGAGCATCTGAGGAAGAAATTAGATGTGTGTCTGCTTTCTTTTTATTCGTCAAATAGTTATGCAAAAAAAAGGTGTGAAGACTGATGACACTGACAAACAATCGATTGTGAACAGGAGAGCGAACAAGATAGAAGTCAATTGGCAGAAAATCTATCAAGTTTATGCTCCAGTATTCTGAAGGTATACATGAGTATCTTACTAGGAACTTAAGAAGTAATGTTATCATGCACTTGATACAGGTCTGTTAGATTACAAGGCCAAACATTAATCCTGCTGTTGTACAGGTTGCTGGAGTTACGAACTCTGAATCTGACGCCAGTCTTTTGAAAGCATTGGAATGCTTAAATCAGCTCCAGTGCCGTATTGCTTCTTTGGAAGGCGAAGTTGAGGATCTAAATTTAAAGGTAATGATGTGGTAATTTATTTTTTAATTGAGCTGATTGACTCTTCATATTTGGTGGGTAATGATGTGGTAATTCATTTTTTAATTGAGCTGATTGACTCTTCATATTTGGTGGGGAATAATGTGGTAATTCATTTCTGAATTGAAATGACTGAATCTTAATATTGGGTGGGAGGGATATAAGTGGAGTACTTTGGTCCTGAAAAGAACACAACAACTTTTTTTTCCTTGCCTGGTTTGTTGTGTCCACTTGATATAAACAGTTAAACACACAGCGTTATGTAGGTCAACTTTGAAGTCTGAAGTCAATCTCATATGTTAACTCTATGTTTTCATGCGACTGATTCCTTAACATTTGCAACGTATGCTATATGCAGTGCAAACTATTGCGTGAAAAAGCCCGTCTGTCTGAGCTCCGGGGCAACTCATCGTCTTTGAGCACAGGGGCAAAGGACAGTTTGAGATCACCCAGCCCGGACACATCACCAAGCATTTCGTCCTTCCGATGACACAGCGGACTGATATGTCACCCAAACAAGTGTACATACATAACAGATTATGTATAACACATTCTGTGTAACTAGTTAGCCGTCAGCTAACAGCAACGTGCAGGTCTCATGGATCTCCTATAGTACAGTCGGAACTGCTTAGGGAGGATTAGGACCCATTTCAGTCCAACAATCTCTTTTGCTGTGTATATATACTCGATGTGTTCAATCGAATATTTGTCTTCCTCTTCCTTTTTTCTAATGTAAAGGAAGATGTGGAAATTGGAATGCAGTTTCTACACATGCAAAATAGTGTCATGTTTATGCAGACTTTTCTATCCAGTCCAGATCCTAGGTAGGTTTTATTTGGATGCACTGGTATCTATCACAATCTAACGTATGGAGGTGGAAAATTAATAAACTTTCACTCAAATTCACTTCAACAAACATGAATTGGTGTGTTGTAAAAAAAAACATGAATTGGTGTGAATATGAGTGCATCCAAATGAGCCTGTACAGGCGAATGCCCAATTTCTCAGTTGGTGTCATTGATGTGGCCATGTCCAAATCCTATATTTTCTGGGATGGAAATGGAACTAGCGTCCTCCTTGTCCTTGGTGAGAAAACGATGGTCCTGCCACGCCACACAATTGCCAAGCCAAGGGTATTGTCAGGCCGAGGAAGAATTAATCATCTGCTGAGCGCCTTTCATGCAGAAGTAATAGCAGCTCTACAAGCAACACTGAGTTTGGGGGTTAGCCGGCTAATCTTGGAGACTGATGCGCTCATGCTACAGCAAGAGTTGGCATCGAAGGAATATTGTGCGAAACCTGAAGGAGGACTAGTGCAAGAATTGAAATCGATTGTTTCTACTAACTTTTCATTTTTTTGTTTGTTCTTTCAAACGTAGAGAATGTAACCGAGTTGGTCATGCTTTGGCTGAGCTGGGGTATGCGTGTTCTGAGGGAGAGGAGCTAACTTCAAGTTCCATCCCAATGTTTCTGTCGCTGCCGATCTTATGGCAGACGAGGAATGTAATTTCCAGATTAAAAAAAAAAAGCTCCGCTGCATGACCTGCAGCAGCACCGCTGGCTGCTGAGTAGGCCCTCTTTTCCGGCCGCCGCATGAGACGAGCCGCCAGGCGTCGCGGGTCCCTCCCGGCCCCACATGTCATCCGACCAACAAACCCCACGCGCGCTGTCGTCGTTCACGCTCCGGACCGGTTTGCCGGTTGGCGCCTTTGCCGCTGCCGGAGGCACGAACCACGCCGCCCCCGGCCCCACTCCACGCCGCATGGGACCCACCGAGCCCCTACCCAAAGCAAAGGTTTCGATTCCCTCTCGCGGGGCACCTGGTCCGTGGGCCCGAACAGCCTGCTCGGCCCCGCGTGTCAGGGACGGTCGGACGGAGACGCGGCTCCTGGGCACGGTTATACCGGACACGGGCCGGCGCGGCCCGCGGGAAGGCCCAGATAAAAATAAAAGAGCAGCGGAGCGGAGCATGCTCTTCCTCCAGTGCCAGCAGCCTCGCGTCCCGTCCCCGTCCGCGTCGGCGCCGCCTTTCCGTCCCCGCGTCAGCGTCGCGGCTCCACTGAGCGTGCGCGTCACCGGCGGGAGGCGAGCGCAGGCGGTGGTGGCGATGGCGTCCGCCGACGCGCGCTTGGCGGGGATCGCCTCCTCCATCCGCGTCATCCCCGACTTCCCCAAGCCAGGTGGGTTGGTTCACCCCCCGCTTCTGTACCCTACCTAACTCCTCTCTCTTCCTGCTGGATCGCTCGCGTGGGTGGATGGGTTGCTGGATGAGTGCTGAGTCGATTTGATCCGTCAGCTTCGTATTCGGGATTTCGGAGTTTGCTTTAACTATACTGCATAAACTCGCGTCACTGCTTATATTTTTACTGAAACTGTGGGAATATAGAGTAGCACTTTCCTTGGGATTAAATAATAAAATAAACTGCATAAAACTCGCGTCACTGCGTACGTTACTAGTAAAACTAGAGTAGAGTAGCACTTTCTTGGGGTTTATTTGCCTTCGCGTGCAAAGCGCGTGCTGCTCTACTCCCGCCTCAGATTCTTGCACACTGGGGACTCGATTACAAACATCTCCCATGCCCTGTCACAATCTAGATTTCTCTGTGTGTGAATAGTTACGGTGCCTGTTCGTGTCCTAATCGATTATGTGCTGCTTCATTTCTGTGTAGGGATCATGTTCCAGGACATCACGACGTTGCTACTCGACCCCCAGGCGTTCCGTGACACCATCGACCTCTTTGTTGAGAGGTACAAGGACCAAGGGATCACTGTAGTTGCTGGTAATGTATTACAAAGTCATTCATTTCTGGACACTGACTATACGAGCTTTCAATACAAAACTTCAGAATTGTATAAGCAACGAAATGGGTGGCCTTGTATGTTCAGTGGTTCTCATTTTCTCGTATTTGGTGCCATGTTAAAACAGGTGTTGAAGCTAGAGGGTTCATTTTCGGTCCTCCTATCGCTTTAGCCATCGGTGCAAAATTTGTACCTTTGAGAAAGCCAAAGAAGTTGCCAGGTCTGCATATCCATCATTAACTTCGTAGCTCTGTTGTTGTATTGTAGCTCTGTTGTTGTTGTTGTACCATTACGTCTGTGCTCGTGATGGTTGAAATAGCTAACACTCTTTCATCTATCTACTAGGCGAGGTGATCTCCGAAGAGTATTCTTTGGAATACGGAACTGACAAGATAGAAATGCATGTTGGAGCTGTACAGGCCAACGATCGGGCTCTTGTAGTCGATGATCTTATTGCCACTGGTGGGACACTCTGTGCAGCTGTCAAACTTATTGGTGAGCTCATCTTGTGTTGTATTTTTTTTACTGTGTATACAATGTCCTACCTAGGGATGAAAACGGACGGAAACGGGCGGAAAAACTCCTCTCCCATTTCCGTTTCTATATTTTTAGCGGAAACGGGATCGGGTTCGGGAAAAAAACGGAATTAAAAACGGATGGGGATATACGGAAATACGAAAACAGACAAATACGGACGGAGAGCCAGAAAATTAATTTAGAATAACATGATCAAATATTCTCGAGTATACATGAACAAAGTTACAAAATAATATACACGTACGAAGTTATCGGTCCAATATTCACTAGCATGCCATTCTTTAACATATTAACATGCATAATTGGTGATTAGTAGGTTTATGAACATATCCTAGACATATCTCACATAGATTGAAAACGGGATGAAAATGGAACAAATACGTATTTTCCGGATGAAAACAGGATCCCACAGAAACAGACGGAAAACCCCCTCTCCCGTTTCCGTATCTCACAAATACGGAAACGGACGGAACAAAGTAGCAAACGGAACGGGTCGGAACGGGATTTTTTCCGTCCCTTTTTCAACGCTAGTCCTACCATAGTTATCTAAATCTTTTTTATCATAAAAAATCATTTTAAACAATGTTTTAATTTTTCTGAAGTTACATATTTATAAATTCATGGTGACAGTTCCCTTCTCTCACAGTTCTAGCTTTTAGTAAACATTGCACTGAATCTTCTTTTTTCAAATTCTTATCTGAGATTAAAAAAGTCTTAGCACGAATACTTGGATACTTTGGAACAAGAAATCTAAACGATTTTTTATGAGCTTTAATTTGTTGTTACAGGGGAGGAGCTTCTCTGAAGCTAGGCTGGCCAGCCTCCTCTCTCTCCACCCACCCACCCCTAATCCCAAAAGCTGTTGAAGGATATGCTTAGTGTCACTACTTAAATCTTAATTATACACTGACACAACCATCTTAATTTAAGTCCTGCCCCACCTCATTTCTTTGGCAACCTCTGCCGCTGTATATGCCTTTCAAGGAATTGCACTTTCTGGCATTCTTAGTATCATTTGACATCGCTTTCCTGCAATTTGTTGTATGCTAATTTATTTATTTCATTCGTATCCCTTTTCCTTTCCAGAACGTGTTGGAGCAAAGGTTGTTGAGTGTGCTTGTGTCATTGAATTGCCAGAACTGAAGGTATATTCTGCTTTGATGCATCAATTTCCCTGGTCGGCTGTAGATAAATATTATGCATATACCACTGTGTAGTTTGTTCATGCTCTTATTGGGAGTTTCTTTTGGATCCAAATAGACCCCTGACAACTTTGTTTTTGTAAATTTTCAGTGAGTAGGAAAGGGTAAAAAGCAGCTAATATAATTTTTCACAGACCATAATGGCACTACCATCTTAGACGCAGGAATTCCTGCACTCTAAACAATCATTCTAATCTACTAGGAAAAATCTAACACTACTTATCATGAGAATTATGTTGTGTACTATTCTAACTACAACATGTATTCAGGGCCGAGACAAACTTGGGGACAGGCCAATTTTTGTCCTTGTGGAAGCAGACGCTTGAGCGGAACTTGGGACTTCTCAGAGAGTTAGAGTTGGCGCTGTTGATGCTCCCTCTCTGGAAACAACAAAGTTCCCATGTTACCATGTTGGCTATTTTCTGGCTGACGCGTAATAAAGTTTTATTCCAAATTGTGATCTCCTGAATGATTTGTCAATTTATACATGATTGCTGGTCCTTGTAAACTGTGGCTTATGTTTTGTCAAAACAGTGCTAATTATTCACATCAATTAAGGATAATCCTGATTGGAGCTTGTTGTTTGTTCTAGTAATGTTACTTTCTTGTTTTGTCAGCGCAACTATTGATGAAATAAAGTTGCCATCATAATAATTGAATAATGGCTGGTGTATGGAGATGGGCTTCTGAATTGATTTTGGGAGATCATGCTGCTGGTGGCAAGCTAAGGGCCCTGGTGGTCACGGGCTCTAAAAGTCTAAATCAGTATTGTTCCTGGTGAACATGAACGCTATTTTCCCAGACTGTTGATTGTTATGCAGTTTGATACACATACTCCATATGCCTATTGCAATTTCCTTTATCTCAACTGGCATTTAGCATGGTCTCTTGAGTCTTGACTCTTGATTATACCAGTTTGTAGCTTGAACCTTTTTGGAATCCCTCAGACAGAATTGACCACATAAAGATAATTAGTTGCATAACTGAGAAGGATTTTGAATCTTCACTAACTATATTTACTTCATGCATTTTGTTCTAGGCAATGCATATGCTTTCATGGCACTGAAATATTTGGCCGACTTTTGCTGTCCTACCTATTCATCATTGCTACAACTGAGTGTTCTGCCTATATCTGTATTAAGGTGTCCTTGGTGGACTCTGCTAATAGCTTTGTGACCTGAAATAGGTCTATTAGTTTGTATGCTTTATAAAAAGTATCATTATTCCCGTAAGTAAACCCTAGAGTACTGCATTCCTTTTAGAGAACAATGCTATCTGCCTACCAGCTTTTAGTTTGTAAATTAATGATGCTTTTGCCGGAGTCACATTTGACATGAATATTGTTATGGATTCAGGAAATGTTTCCTCAATCATCTATTATCTTTTGTTTGACTATGAACTCTACTTGTATGATCTTTTGACTTTTAGTTTGTTCCATTATCTTTTGATAGTCAATCTGTTTACTTTGACTTCTATGCCTTGCATTAGCTGATTGTGCTCGTTCTAAGTAGGTCTTTTCTGTGTATTTATGATCAGTGGTGTGAGTGATCTGTTTTTTTTATTAGGTTGATCAAGTATTGATATTTCTTTGTTTTATGGTTCTGAGTGCCTATCCATCCCTGAGAAATCTCTCTCCATGTATGTTCCCATTTTCATTTGTGTTTCTACCGGTAACCAAAATGGTGTCATTTTGATGAAACTATGCATAAGTTCTCACTTTTTACTCTCTGAGCATCAGTTAAAATATAGAGGAATCTTTTTGGGATATCTTCCTTTATGTCATTTTAATGAGAAGACCAGCTGAACCTATAGGAGTATGGTAGATTTTTAACTGCATGTTCCATTCTTTCATGTAGTTGACTTCACTTGGCTGTGTGATCAGTTATGCACGTGGTTTTCATGAACTAATGTGATTTTGTTCTGGTTCCTGCAATTTACATATGAGGTGCATTTTTCTTGCCCCTGCAATTTGCATCTATTTTTTTCTCTCAATTAGGAAGAAGGTAAATACAAAAGAAAAACACAGTTCTAACACAACGCTACACACATCGTTTTTACAAAATATAAGACACCAATGTTAGTGATACATTCTTGCCCAAATTACCAATGCGCTTTCTTTTTTTCTCCCTAAAGTTACAAAGTTAAGTCACAGGAAAAGTCTGTGCGTTACTAGTTTAGTTTACACTGTAGAGCTATTACTGGTTACCTTCACATGATTTGTGCTCGGTGCCATTGTTTTTTCTGTTAGCTTTAGAAGATACAAAACGTTATAGGACTTGGCTTCTGAGTATGATAACATATTAGCGATTGTGTAAGTCAATAGGTACAATCAAAGCTAAAAACAATTCCACATTAATGTTCTCAATGAATGTGACATAAATCTTAGTTCGCTCAGTAATGTATCAAGTGAATTAGAATACAGGAGATGGTGATCGTTTAATAGTCAAGTTACTAGTTCCTTCGTTTATTTGCTATAGAATTCACTGCAGTCCTTTCTATATTTGCTTGTTTCATAGTTTCCCAAACCTACCTCTCCATTGTATCTTATATTTTGAAGTAGAAATAATGCGTGATGAAAACAAAAAAAATGTTTGAAATATCATAGCTCGATATAGTTATTCCGTGAAAGCAAACGTACTCATCATAAAATGCAGCTGTTCTTCAGGAAAGCACAGCAGAGCAAGGCTATCGGCTGGCATAATTTATTGGTGCCAGTTTGTGCGATTAGTTTATAGGTTATGAACAGAATATCTTTTATGATCTCCAAAGGAGTGAGGCCACAAGCAATTTGGCCTTCCCATGCTTTGAAGTTGAACTTTGCGAAGTCAGAAAATAAACTGAAGTGCTTAATAGGCAATGATCATATATTATGTCCTTCGTTTCTATGCTATTATTGATATGTTGTTGGTTGTTTAGGTATTGTATAATGCATACCCGTGCAGTTTGCCCGCATAACATTGCAGGCATCCCTTCTTTCGTACAGCTAAAGGGTAAGAATCATGGCCATAAACAAACTTCATCTTGTTCCCTTGGAATCATTTTCCTTCCCAGCATCTTAGCTGTTGCTGTTTGATAAGGAGAGGCAAGAAGTCCCTTTTGAGGACATGCCAGAAGTACAGTTGATTTGTACACCATGGTGGATCTGAGTCATGTGCAGCTCTTAATTGCTAGATGGATGCAGATCACTTGCTGCTGATGAGGATATCAGCAGCGCATCTCCAGCAGAATCAGATTTGTCGGGCATTGCGGAAACCTGACACCTTATGTGGAAACCTACATTGTGGCCTCCATTTTATTTTCGAACACAATTGTGGCCTCCATTTTGATGATGCACATGCTCTTCGATTCACAAAATGTGCCATAATCTGAATTTTAGAATCTGATTGAGTTTTCTGAAGGCCTTTGGTAATATTGCTGTGTTAGATTCTTAGGAACAATTGGGATTAGATCTTGTGGGTTGATTCATTTCTATTTGGTTTAGAACAACCAACAACATGAACCGGAGAGAGAGAGAGTAGAGTGCCATACCTTCGGGCTTGGCAAAGGAGGAAGAAATCGCCATGGCAGTGGCGATGCAGTGAGGGGCGACGGTGGCGTGGCATCGTAGTCGAACGCCGTGCAGTGGAGGCGTGGTCCAGTGGCGATGCAGAGGCGATGGTGAAGTCGGTGGCGGCTTCCCGTCGCTGGCAGCACCGTCACTCTTGATCGGTTAGCGTTAGGGTTTCTTTGTCGAAGGGTTGCGGCGGCTCATGTCAACCTCGTACCTCGTGCCCTAGCCCCACTTCTCTTTTATGGTGCTGTGCGACGGGGGCCCACCAACCATAGAGTGGTTGGACGCCCCCGATCAGGGCGTTGATCCAAGAGGGCTAATTGGTGGAGATCAAACTAACATTCTCCCCCTTGATCTCACCTTATTTTTTAAACTTAACTTAATTACTTTATCTTGTTCTCATTCTATCACAGATCAGTGCATAGAGCGTGCCTCATCGTCACGGTCTGTTGCCATTAGATTAAACAGCTACAACGCACCTCTCTGTTTTAAAACACATACTCAACTAGGCCATTAGTATCCAGAAATCATAGGCTTTCCCATAAACCCATGTCGACTGTGTGTTCTCTGAACGCACTGGGTGGTTAGCCTTTGGTAAAAGAATCCGTAAGTACTTACTCGGTACTTATGTGCTCAATGCTTTTAAAATAATTCTGGATTTTCTCCTTTACAACATATACCTTAGTGTCAATGTGTTTGGCAGCACACTTGACTTGTTGTCTTAGGAGTTAGCTTACTTTAAATGGCTATTGCTGTTGTCAACCATTATTAAATCCGGGTACAAATTCTTTTAACCTCCTTTTGCCTGTTCCTTAAGCCTCATGTCAAGCTATACTATGGTATGCATCACTGATGACACCACAACTCTTTCTTTGGAGCTTTTTTCACAATAATACTCCAACTGCGAGTGTTAGCAACTGTTGTGGATTTTACTACACATCTCGCCAAAACTTAACATTTGTACCCACAACTATTTGAGAGTACTTGCCCTTTCTTACTCAGCATGAGGCCTATGATACTTTGCAAAATTGTAAGACATTTTCAACTCCATTCCAACGATCTATATCTGGACTGGACTTCTGCCAAAATATTTCGGATACATAAACTATGTCAGGGTAAGTTCTTACTTGTACTTGTACACTCATCAAGCTTCCAACAGCTGAAGCATATGGAACCATGTTCATTTGATCTATCGCATATTAGTTCCTGAAACACTTAAAGTTCCCATAACTATTACCCTTGACTATAGGAGCAGGCGTAGGTTTACTCGCATGCATACTTTATTTGTCTAGAATCTTTTTAAGTATGCATTTGCGATAGTCCTAATACCCAATTTTCTTCTATCTCGGTGAATTTTGATTTCTAGAATCAATGACACTTCACCAAAATCATTCACATTAAAACTTGAGGACAAAACTTATTCTTCTCCAATGACAAATTAACATCACTACTAAGGAGTAGAATGTCATCTATTCACAAGATGTGGAAAATGAATTTTCCATTCTTGATTCTCGCATAAACGCTATCGTTCTTCTTATTTTCTTTAAAACCCAAACTTTCTTATTGTTTTCATCAACTTCAATACTAATGTCTAGAGACATACATTTAACCCATAAATGGATTTCTACAGGCGGCATCCCATATGTTCTTTTCTTCCACGACAAAACCTTTTGGGTTGTGCCACATAATCGTTTTCATATAAATCCCCATTGAGGAATGCCGTCTTTACATCCATCTAATGTAACTCTAAATCGTAATGTGTCATTAACACCATTATGATTTTAAAAGAATCCTTACATAAGATTGGAGAGAAAACTCTCATTATAATCTAGTCATTCTCTTTGCGTAAAGCATATTGCCATAAGTCGTGATTTATATCTTCCTACATTTCCTTTGGAGTCACGTTTTATCTTGTAGACCCTTTTACAGCCTACTATTTTGACTCCATTAGAAATTTCTTCTAAATCCCAAACATCGTTGGTATTCATCGAATTCATTTCAGCTTCATAGCTTCTTGCCATTTAAACGAGTAAACGCTTCTCATGGCTTCTTCAAATGAGGTAGGATCACCCTCCATTTGAATTTCTTTACTAACATAGACTTCATAGTCATTGAAAAAACTGGTTTACTAATTCTTTGAGACCTTCTAGGGCCTCAGCTACTGGCACTTTCATATGGGGTTGTTGTTGCTCTTCATTGCCGAGAGGCAATTGATTCTACATGCTCCTGTATCACAAGATCCTTGTTTATATTATTCATCTTTTTGAAGAGCCAACAACAAGTGTTGTATTAGTCATACAACATCAACAGGTATTAAGAAACTTGTTGCTCCTGAGTCACTAGAGTGGGCACGCAAAACAATTCTCTTTAAGTCTTAGGTCTCTACATACCTCTACATACCATCCCCCATATCTTTCCATCTTTTATAAAAATAGTATATCTTCAAATTTCTTATTTTGGGTTTAATTCGTTAAAACCTCATATGACGCTTTAAGCACCATCTTAACATCTTGAAGGCTGACTACGCTATCTTTCTGTCAGAACTTTAAAAAGTCCAGGAATTTAGCTATTTCTCTGCTTAGGGGTATCATCGTTGTGACAGTTATACTTCTCCAACGGTCGCATTCATCTTAATTAATCTTTATCTCACTCTTAATGAAGAGTATTTTTTTAGTTGATCTTTATATTCTCCCTCTTGAAATATAGCATGAACTTTACTACCATAATTTCAATAACTATTCAGAAAGCCTGTAAATGAGGAGACACTTTTAACTTCATTCACATGATTATGTCATGTAAACAAAGTTATTTCTTGATCTGTTTAGAAGTACATTTTCCTTAATTCACTTTAAGAACTCAACGAGGTCTTTCATTAGCGGTACTTTTGCAAGTCACATTTGCATCTTTTCTTATCTTTTGGTTAGTATTGACCATGACGATACATTTCTATTGTGCCAAGGTCAATACTAGGACAGCATAAAAGCTACCCAAACTTCTCTCGCTATGCGGGATACAAAACATGTGAATCATCATAAAACTTCTCCCGCCATGCAGGATTGACTAGCATAAGTACTATGCCAAAACTTCTCCCCATACGGGATACATCGATACAAAAACTTAGTCATGACGACTAAAACATTCATTCATACTTCATTTTCCAATTATATCTTCCTATTGGTTCCAATTTAATCAGAAAATTAATAAACTAATAAAAATTGTCCTGAACTGGCTTAACTCAAACCTTTTCATTGACATACCCCAGCATTGCAGCCCGTTGGCATGCAGCCGAGTGATATCGTCGAATTAAAACATACAAGGTGCTTCTGCATCAATTCTACATCACCGTTGGGCAGAAAATAGAATTAACGCATAGAACTCATAAATCAACTTGAAATACATATAACTACTCTTTAAAATTAAATTCTCCCGTTGATTCGAATTTAATTAGAAGATAATCAACTTCAGTGCAGTGAAAACTAAATGAAATACATTCTTTTAGTTCAGGAGCATTTCTTGGTCCTTATCTACTCTCTGGAAAATTCACCACGTTGGTGTAAAATTTACCAGAGATTTAAACTTCAAACTTAAATTCGTTATAATATCGTCATCATCAACGTTGGTTAGAAAATGACAATACCATAATCTTACATAAACAAAAACGGACTACTCCTCTAATTAATTTTTCCTATTGGTTTCAATTTAATTAGAGGATCAATATAATCACAATTTTCTAAATATAACTGCTCTTCAAATTAAATTCTCCCGTTGGTTCGAATTTAATTGGAAGATAATAAACATTAAACTTTGCAGCGGAAACTTAAAAACATAATTTATCTACTTTTTAGAAGCATTTCTCTGTGCTCATCTACTCTCTGAACAATTTATCATGTTGGTTCAAAATTGAATAGAGGTGAAAAACTAATCAAAATTCACTTCTGAAAATAAATTCTAAAAAAAATTAGCTACTACATTGGCCTGGACTAATAAAAATCAGCCCGAGGCCCAACTCGCAGCGGCAACGCACGGCCCAGCTCGGCCTGCTCGCGCGCGCGCGCTCTCGTGTCCCTGCGCCAGGCCGCAATCTAGGCCTGGGCCAGGATTCTCGTTACCCACCTGGGCCTAATGCCGGTCCAGACGATCTTGGCCGCTGGTTTCCATCCGACGGCCAGGCGTCAATATCGCGAGATCAAAAAACCCCAGGCGTGGCTCATCCCCAAAACCCTAGACTCATTTTCCTCGTTCCCTTTCTCTCTCCTCCTTAGCGCCGTAGTCGGAAGAGAGAAGAGAGCAAGCAGCAGCGATCTTGCCGCCGGTCCTCTTGGCTCCCCTTGCCCGTTTCATTTGGGCGCGCTGCGTTGGTGGTGGGAGCGCGTTCACAGCGGCTGTGGGATCCTTTCGCCGGCGGTGAAACCTCAAAGACCCAGAGACCCGGCACGAGCCCGAAAGCGGGCCGATCTAGGGTTACCTCGCCGACGATCTTGCCGGAGCAAATCCGGTGACGGAGATGGAGAAAGGTCAGTTTCCCCACCTCCTTCTACTTTTTAACTTCCCCTCTTTCTAGGGTTGGGGTTTCGGTCTTGCTACCGGCGGTCGGCGGTCCAAATCCGGCGAGCCGTCGTTGTTTCTGGAAAATAAAACTTTGTTTCCATTCGTTCATCTCCTTCTTTCTGTCTCTTACCCCACGCGCCCACGGCAGCTCGGGGTGGCTTCCTTCCCGCACGCCGTCGAAGCGGTGGCACGGTCTTCTTCCCGCGTGACGGCGGTCTTCTTCCTTAGAGTTAGGGTTACGGCTCTAATTATATTTCACTTTTCTACCCCGATCTACGATCTACACACTAGGATAACTCGGCTCTGGTACCATTGTTAGATTCTTAAGAACAAATGGGAGTAGATCTTGTGGGTTGATTCATTTCTATTTGGCTTAGAACAACCAACAACACGAACCGGAGAGAGAGTAGAGTGCCATACCTTCGGGCTTGGCAAAGGGGGAAGAAATCGCCATAGCAGTGGCGATGCAGTGAGGGGCGACGGTGGCGCGGCGTCGTAGTTGAACGCTGTGCAGTGGAGGCGCGGTCCAATGGCGATGCAAAGGCGATGGTGAAGTCGGTGGCGACTTCCCATCGCTGGCAGCACCGTCACTCTTGATCGGTTAGCGTTAGGGTTTCTTTGTCGGAGTGTTGCGACGGCTCAGGTCAACCTCGTACCTCGTGCCCCGGCCCCAACTTCCCTTTTATGGTGCTGTGCGACGGGGGCCCATCAACCATAGAGTGGTTGGACGCCCCCGATCAGGGCGTTGATCCAAGGGCACAATTGGCCGTTGGGCCAATTGGTGGAGATCAAACTAACATGCTGCAGCTGGTGCCCTGTTTAACCTTTACAAATGTGGCATTCTATACAGCATCTTTGCATTTGTTCAGTATTTTTCACCTGTATACTGATGTGGTCTAGATTTCATTTAGAACTGCATGGAATGAGACTCTAGCAGCCTAGCTAGGCACAGACTTATCGCTATGTAAATCTAGTTCAGAAAATTTTCACTGGATTGGCTCTTTGTTTCAAATATAGCCTTGATCTAGAAGCCCCCCCTTGGCAAGGAGAAAATGATTGAGGCTTTGCGAGTTCCGCAGAAGAACGTCGGTACATTCTGCATTGAAGAATGTACCACCGTTCCTGTATAATCAGCAGAGGAGTTAGCATATCTCCTTCAGTTTGTAAAGAATGTTCAGATTCCCTCCGCCATGTTCGTGCAAGCCTCTCTTTGCATATCCTGTTTTCTTTATTCCATCTCCCCCAACCAGCATCACTCTTTTATTATATTCTATCTTTTCATGAGGTAAACCCTGTCCCTATTCAGAGATCATAGACTTCCTGTCACAGCCCTTGATGAGCCAATGATTAGTGAAGTGTCCCCAATCATTGAACCTCCTTCACAGCAGACAGGCCACGGCACTGTAATCTTGGATAAGTCACTGTCCTGTCTACCAGCTAGCAGTTGAAGTTTTCTGATCTTGTAATTAACCTTCAAATTCCCCAGGACATACCTCACCTTGGTTGATTCTAGTCCTTAACTTGTGGCCATAAACTACTTCATCCCAACCGTGGACCGCCATTTCTTTAATCATAGTCACATTTTTTAAATTTGAAGATTATGCTCCTGCCTCCAGCAATATTTCTGAATTCTGGTTCCTGAACAGTATAAAAGCACCTGCACTTGTGCAATAGTCTTCATCAAGCAAGCGAGCATCTCAGACATCAACACCTACACACTACACAACCACCTCTGACCTCTGGGCCTCATTGCACATCACAATGGAGGCTGGAGGGCTGATCACCGAGGTCGGTTGGATCGAGTTCGACTTCCTGTCGCACGGCGAGGAGTCGGAGGTGATGGCGCAGCTGCTCGGTGCCTTCCCCTCCCATGGCGAGGAAGGTCAGCATGACCTGCCTTGGCCTGATCAAGCTTCCAATGCATACAGTGACAGTATTCCACCTGCATGTGAGGGCTACTATTTTTTTAGCAACTCAAATGAGGCCCTTGGGAGCAGCTCCTGCACTGCACCAGCAGATGCCCTGGGCTCAGTGCAGGAGGAGCATGGTGCAGCTGAGTTTTTGAATGTGGCTGCAAACCATTCCTTCAACTGTTATGGGAATGGTGATCCGAGCTGTCAGGATCTGGATGATCCGAGCATCAGTATGCTTGGCTCAGTAAGTGCCACGACAAACAAGAGCAAGAGGAAGCACATGGCAGAAGAGCACGATGGCCACACCCAAACAAGAGTAAGTCTTGGTGATCAGCTTCCTTTTGACCAGTGATGTTCTTCATATCATATCATCGATAGCTGAGCGCTCCGATTTCTAATGCAAATGCTGGTTGTTTGAAATCGTGTAAATGCAGGGGCGGAAATGCGCGCGGAATGTTGGTGAAACTAAGCGAGCCAAGAACGCCAAGAAGAGTGGAGACGAAGACTCCAGCATGGCCATCCCAAATGGAAGCCCGACGAGCTGCTGCACCTCTGACAGCGATTCGAATGCCTCTCTGGAGTCTGCAGACACCGATGCTCGTCGCCCCAAAGGCAAGGGCCGGGCAGGCCATGGCGCGACGACTGAACCCCAGAGCATCTATGCAAGGGTACGTACTCCATATGATCATCCTCCTGTTCTGTTGATGAAATGATAACGATGTATCGATCGCTCCTATTTGTAACTGAACCTGACATGGACCATTGCTGCTCTTTTCTTTGGGTTTGCAGAAGAGGAGGGAAAGGATCAACGAGAGGCTGAAGATCCTGCAGAACCTGGTGCCCAACGGGACCAAGGTGGACATCAGCACCATGCTTGAGGACGCAGTCCACTACGTCAAGTTCCTGCAGCTCCAGATCAGGGTGAGAGGATCTGCGTGCAGAATCTGATTCCATCTCATCTCAGTGCCGCGTCGTCAACTCATCCCGCTAACAGCTACATGTTCTTATGATCCTGCAGCTCCTGAGCTCTGACGACACGTGGATGTATGCGCCCATCGCGTACAACGGGATGAACATCGGGATCGATCTCAACATGGACAGATGATCCATCGCAGCGTCTCTTACCTGACTGACACTCATTAATGTGCTTGCTTGTTGCAGTCATCAGTCTGCAAGTTTTTTTTTACACAGCGTGGTTCGTCAGCAGTCGCTGAGGGATGGATCATATACTGGATAGATACACAAGTTGTAGCACGCCCAGTTGCCTGCGGAGACACTTACATCAAGAACCGTTTTTTTTTTGTTTTGTTTTGTTTTAGTCCCAAAATTGGACGGGACGTTTTCTTTTCTTTTCTTTTCAAGAAGAAAAGACACCTTTTGACAAGACCTTGAGACTTGTACAAGTTTGAAATTGTTCTCTTGGGAGCGGAGACAACACTTTTTGTGATTGACGCTTTGCTCAAATCTCTCCTCTTCGTGCAGCCTGCGGTTTTAAACGTTTTAATTAACTTAACACGAGATTCAATTTGATTTTCTATCCAAAATTTCCATCCAATTTATCAACAATTTGTAGGCCATGAGCCCATGAATCATCACGAAGGTACATGGGCCACGACCAAACAAATTAAGTATCGTATCATCACAGCTTATTCAGACCATCCCAGCTCTAGATGGGCCCAAAACAAAGCCCAACAAACGTTTCGCACACGCACCGACGCACGTGAGTGAGAAAGGGAATCCCAAATTCCCAATTCCCAATTCCCAATTGCGACACTAACATCGAGAACCGTTTTTTATTTTATTTTATTAGTCCTAAAATTGGGCAGGACGTTTTATTTTCTTTTCATAAAAAAAGACACCTTTTGACAAGACCATGAAACTTGTACAAGTTTGAACTGTTCTCTTGGGAGCAGAGACAACACTTGTGATTGACGCTTTGCTCAAATCTCCCCTCTTCGTGCATGCGGTTTTGAACTTTTTAAAGCTTGTTATGAATCTTGTGGACAAGTCATGCCTGTGCAGGGGCCAATGCAGAAATGGATATTAGGGACTTCTCGCCTCCTTTCTTCTTCTTCTTCTTCTTCTTCTTCTTCTTCTTCTTCTTCTTCTTCTTCTTGGGGGCTTAAGTATGCGCACAAGGCCTAGCCTTGATTGCCAATCCAACAGGAACGTCGTTCCCTACCCGGTCTCCAATTCATTATCATCATATCATGATTCAAGTAGAAAGTAGTAATGATCCTACTCTCAGAAAAGCATCACTGAACCTCTACTGAATATTACTAGACATGTATAAGAGCACAAGGCACATCAATACTTTATTATAAAATAAATGATGTGGTGCGAGTGTGGATTTATGGTTATAAGAGCTTAAGGCTTCTTAGTTTTATAAACCGATTTGCAGAAGTACTTTGCCTGTCGAGGTAAACAAAGTGATTAACTCTAATATATCGGGTATGTGCAAATTTCTTCTTCGGTAAGGGTTTGCTTTGGGTCTACCATTAAACAAAGTTAATCACCCCTTAATTAAGTTAGTTAATTATTAATGGCAAGCCTAGCGCCCAGACGTCCGTCCCTAGGCCTACGACCAGACGCGGCTCCCGTGTGCAAACCCGCGTGCCTCTCTCACGTAAAATCGATCGATTGAATAGAATTGCCTCTGCTGCGCCGCGCAACAGGAGAGCGCACCCACCGTGCCCACGTCACCACGCGCCTACGCCGCTGCTCCCAACCGCAAGATGCAACAGAAGGTGGGAGGAGGAAAGTTGCAACACCCGATATACTTTTGAAACATCCAAAAACAATGGTTGCAACATACGTCTGAAGGCAGTTGAAACACCTAAAACATGCTTCTGAAACAATTAAAAAACACACCTGAAACACACTTGAAAACCATTGCAACCATACGCAACATCTGAATAAAACACATGCAACATATGTGTGAAACATATGTGAAAGCATCTATTCCCCTAGTTGGGTTTCGGTGATTAATGACTACACAAGATTGCCGTGACTAACGTGTGTTTTGTAGAGGCATTATAAGTTCGGTCATGGTAATGGTGATTGATTGTGCACTTATGGTATTCATGCCCCTGATGATGGAATTCGTTTCAGTTTTCAAAAGATAGACGACAAGGTTAAGGACAGACTAGTTCTAAGTGTCGTTTGGTGTTGAGAGACACTTAGATTAGTTGTAGGACTTTGTTTTTCCTTTGGCTGTACTATAAAGGGGGCATGGATGGTTAACTTGACTTAGACGAGTCTAGTGAGAAGAATGTGGTGCACATTTGTTTAATCTAGCACTAGGTAGCTCAGATGAAGCCCAAGATCATTGGAAGTTGGAAACAGTTTCAAATCAGGACTTGAAGCGGAGGGCAGCGCTAGGAGTGGCACCGGACATGGCGGTGTACACCGCCCCTAGTGCGGCGGTGCACCGCCCAAGGGGTGGTGGCGCCACCGCCCTTTTTCTCCTGAGGCTTGCTAGTTTGGGTAAACAGCTCTGGCGGTCACCGGACAGGGCACCACCCTAGAGGTGGTAGTGCCACCGCCATAATTTTTTAGAGGCTCTGTTTTTTTCGGTGTTTGGCTGAAGGGGCACCGCCCTAGGGGTGGCGGTGCCACCGCCATTTTTATCTAGAGAGGGATGTTTCGGTGGCTTGGTCACCGCCCCTGGAGTGGCGGTGCCACCGCCCCTGGAGTGGCGGTGCTAGCCTAGTAACGTCTAGTTAGAATATAGCCATTGGAGTGGCACCGGACAGGGGGTGGCGGTGCGCCACCTTGTTGTCCGGTGACCCCGACTTTGCTGAGTTGGAGGGGTAACGGCTAGTTTCTTGGCTTGGGCCTATTTATACCCCTCCATCTCGTGCATGAAGGCTCTCTTGCCCATTTGTTCAGCTGAGGAAACCATTTGGTGTGCAAGAGAGAGCAAGAGCCTAGTGGGGTCATTGAGATTTACTAATCCAGGATTAAGGACCTCATTAGTACATAGAGAGTAGCAAGTGTGCATCCACTCTTCTCATTAGGCTTGGTTAGGTCAAGTGAGAGTTTGTGCTTGTTACTCTTGATGATCGCCATCACCTAGATGGCTCGATGGTGATTGGAAGCTTGGTGATCATCCGACGGAGCTTGTGGATGACCTAGGTCATGGTGTGAGCGGTTGTGGACGATTCACCATGATGGAGTGTCGAAGAATCAGCCCATAGAGAGCAGTTGATCCTTGCGTGGATCAAGGGGGAGCTACACCCTTACACGTTTGCTCCAACGAGGACTAGTGGGGAGTGGCGACTCTCCGATACCTTATAAAAACATCTCCGTGTTCCTCTCCCTCTCTTTACTTTGAGCATTTACATTTGAGAAATTCAATTCATATCTTTACATTCTTACAATTACCATGCTAGAGTAGGATTGGAACCTAGGGTGCAAAACTTTTGTGCAGTAGATCATAGCGAACACTTTTAGGCATAAGGGAGTAAAATAGGCTAAGTGTAGGGTTTAATTATTGCAAAAAAATTAGAATTAGCCCAATTCACCCCCTCCTCTCTTGGGCATCTTGATCCTTTCAATTGGTATCAGAGCCTCGTGCTCCTTAAATTAGGCTTAACTGCCTAGAGCAAGATGTCCCATGGGGATGGACCCCCTCCCGTCTTTGAGGAAGATGATTTTCTTTATTAGAAAATTCGCATGGAGGTGTACCTAGAAGCTTTAGGTGTTGAAGTGCTTAGAGCCGCCTCACAAGGCTTCCCAAAACCTAAGGATCCCGCCAACCTTCAAGGTGATGAGGTTCACTACGAGAAGTGAAATGCAAAGGCTAGAAACACCCTTTTTAGAGGCCTTTGCAAGGATGTCTTTAACCGTGTGCGCAACCACAAAGACGCCCATTCACTATGGTCGGACATTTGTGCGCTCCATGAGGGAACCAAGAGTGAGCGTGAGGAACGCTATCACATTGTGATGAAGAAGCTTAATTCATTTGAAATGCTTTCTAGTGAAAGTGCTAATGAAATATATTTTCACTTGAATGCTCTTGTAGAGAAGGTCAATGGGTTTGGACTCACTCAAATGCAACCATCCGATGTTGTGAGAAAAATCTTGAGTGTCCTCCCCATTGAGAAGTATGGGCATATTGTGACGGTGCTTCATCAAGGTGATCTTTCCACCACTATGCCAACTCAAATATTAGGGAAGATCAATGCACATGAGATGTACATGCACATCACTCCACAAGATGGCTTTTCTTCCACCAAGAAGAAAGATTTGACATTCAAGGCTAGCCAAGAGAAGAAGGGCAAAGCAAAAGTTGATCATGATAGCTCAAGTGATGATGAGATCGATGATGTATTGCTCTCATGGTGAGAAGAACCGTCAAGATGCTCAGAAAGCTCAACAAGAATGGGGTCAAGTTTGATGGAAAGAACAATTGTGGACAACTTGGTCATCTAGCTCATCAATGCCCCAAGCCCAAAAAAGACAAGTACAAGAAAAAGTATAAGGGCAAGAAAGATGACTCAAGTGATGATGATGATGAGAAGAAGAAGAAAAACAAGCCATATAAGAAGAAGGATGGCAAGAAGAAAGAATATCACAAGAAGAAGAATGGCAAGGTTTACATCGTTGGTGATTGGCTTACGGACATTGAATTATCAAGTTGCTCATCCAATGATGAAAGTGATAATGAGAATGAGAAGGTGGTCGCTCTTGTGATTGGGACTTCACTACCTCCACCGCCGCTGCCGCCATCATCCTCTACACACCTATGCCTTATGGCCAAGGGTGATCAAAAGGTACAAAGTGATGATGATAGTAGTGGTGATGAAAATGATAGTGATAGTGATAGTGATGAAGAATTTGAATCACCTTCATATGATGATGTAGTTGTCTTGCTAAATGATTACACTAAAATCATAAAAAAGACAAGAGCTAAAAATGAAAAGCTAAAACTTGAGAATGAGTCTCTTTTAGCAAAATATGACATAGCCGAAAAAGCTAGTTGTGAGCTTAGAGAAGAAAAATGAAATTGTGTCATCCAAGCTGAAGGAGCTCAAAACTTCTAAAAAGGAGCTTAGAGAAAAACATGATAAACTGGAGGGGATACACAATGAGCTCACCACT